GCCTCTTCTCTCCATTAAGGCAGTCTGCACAGCACAGAATCTTGATTTTCCATTATTATAATTGTAATTCAATCTGGATGGGGATTTAGATATCTATAGATATATATTAATCAGTATTAGAAATTATTGCCATACAGGAATATAGATAAGTAAAGTTCATAATTACATTTGTATGTGATAGATTTCCACAAAGGGTGCAAGGTAACATAAATTTTTGCTGACAAACCTGGTGTGCATGGATGTTGTATGTGTGTATGTTCCCTGACTTTATCTTCGATTGTCACAGTTACTTCCCAGACTTCATTTCACCAACTTTCTATGTTTTACCATGCCCTTCCCATCCCTCCCAACAATGTCAAGCTTACATGAAGGAGTTCCAATCAACTTCTTATATTTCTCAGGAGACAGATATCCATCATTATGCCATTCAGAGATTGAAATTCCTCTACTTAACACATTCTCATTATCAGCATATGCCACATCTATTTTCTGCAAGTCAAGTGTATGGTACTGGAGGAAGATCAACGAGACACATTTTCTCCTAGTTGATCCACTTTCAGGAATTCTCTAGAATGCCCATCCATCCCTACAATTCCAGGGTCTTCATAAAGTATAGCATGCATTTAAAGTCTATGTCCAGGTTTCAGAGTGTTGAACCCAGACTAAGTTGAACTATCGTTGGAACATATCAATCTTGGTATCAACTAAGATCACTCTAGATCACCGTAATGCTGATTGAAAGACGAGGTTGCATGCAAATATGCTAAGTGACACTTGGAATGATATGACTTGATGGTTTTTAAGATTCAGTCTCTGATGTGCTGCAATGCAGTATATTGCTAGAATCCTATTGGACTTGTTCTGGTTCTTTTACATGCTGGATAAGTAGCCTGTTGAATACAAACCAGCTTCTTCATCATATAATATTTTTGCACATTGTGCTGTTGCTACAGAAGCTCCTTCAGTTCTTCCTTCTGACCAGTTAAGTGATATAAAATAAATGTTTGCTGTTGATGTCCTAGAGCATCACAAATAAGCTAAATATATATAATTCTAATACTGTTAATTCTTCATCCAGCATCATCATGCTTTGCACATATTTAAAAGACATTTTAAAGAAGTAGTAGCAGCAGCAGCAGCAGCAACAAGCCAAGACATCATTCAGTGGATGTCTCCAATATCTTGGGTGAAAAAGAAGAGGTTTTGTCTCCCTAATGGTAACCAAATTTGAACCCAAATGGGACCCTCTGAGAATAAAGACCATTCATATTTGGACTAGTATCCTGGGTCATATTTCTTGGTCACACTAGAGTGTGACTAAGAGAAGGAAAACAGTAACTCAGTTGTCATGTATCATAGATCAATATTCCCTATGAAGATTATTTTATTATTATTATTATTATTATTATTATTATTATTATTATTATTATAACATTGCAGTACACTAATCAAAAGCTCTATGTGAATCTAACTATTGAGGGGTACAATCAGACATGAAATATGTTGTTATAATAATTCAGTAATTAAAATACTTTTGGCTATCACTGAGATTATAATCTTCCAAGAAGTACATGGAAGATTATTTTGGCTGTGAAGGATGCTTCCAGCTGTACGTCCACATAATATATTGAGTATTTTATGGAACTTGGTTCTGTGGTATTGTAAGGGGGGTTTATTTTTTAATAGACTGAATCCAGTGGACTGGGAGTAAAACTGCACTCATCTGATAGGACTTTCCTACTGCCTCTCACCTTCTTGAGTACCAAATAAATGGCTCCTGAAGGGTTCCTACTGGAATTTTTTTTTTTTTTTTTGTATTTTTTGTGAGCCGCCCCAAGGCTTTGTTGTGATGGGGGCAGCATAGAAATATTTTAAATAAATAAAATTGCATGTGGAAGGCAGCTGCAGCAAAAGATGAGGGGAATCAGGGTGGGTCCTTGTTTCAGTGGAAATGCAAATCCAAAGAAGTCTTTCAGTCAGTATCGGTTTTTGAAGGCTTCTGGACAAGACACCCTTCTGGGGCCTTCCCCAAGTTTCACACTAACTCCAGTACTAATTGCTGTTGTCCATCTTCTTTCTTTATTATCCATGGCACTGGTTGCCTCTTTGATAAGTAGGCAGTGAGCAAGTGGGCAGTGTCATGTACTGCTTATCCTGACCACCGCTATTGTCTGGGTCAGAGTGGGAGGCAGGTGGACAAGCAGGTTGCAGTGGAGAAGAAAAGGAGCAAATGCAGGAGTCATACCAGGGGGATGTGGCCCTCAGCAAGTTCTCAACTGTGTCTGCTTTTGGTTGGTCCTGCTCTCACTCCAACCAGTGACCCATTTTTCTAGATTCTTTATGATGTTTTCATTCTAAATTCTACATACATGGGATGTAAAGCTATTTTATGGAAGTATTTTCTCAGCTAAATCTACAGAGGCAGAAAAAAATTAAATGCTGTATATAGATCCTATAAAGAAATATATAGGAAATGGTTAATGAACTGAATCACATGTCATTAGACATCTACTTAAGAATGTTAAATATTCAAAGAGGATTCTTTACTCAATATGTATTTGTGCTATGTGTAATGATATAAAACCCACATCTATCAAATGAGCTGATAACTCCTTCAGAGTTTCCATTTTTGTGCCATTATTTAACTGTACATTTGAAACACATAATTCTTGCATCTGTGGTAGAATTTTCTGTATTCCCTGCTTGCAAGCACGATCTTGTTTGTAGTTTTATATCTTTAGTGGCACAAACATATATCCTCCATCCAAATCCTCAGGATTCTTCTCAAACCACCATTTGAACCTGCTTAGGGATAGCTGTGGCTACTATCCCCACTATCATCGCCCCTTCATATCATTATGAAGATTGTGCACAACCCAGGAGCTACTATGACTACTGTAACATTGAGCCCACCTACTATTGGTACCAACAGCAGCACCTGTACCTGGAGGCCCCCAGATGTGCCCTGTCACACATGGTCTTTGTCCCTCCTGATACTCCATTACCTCCTGGCCCCACTACTACAAATTTACATGTCTCCCCAGACATCTCTTGAAACAACCCCCTTACTCAACATCTATGAGTTGCTCAATCTTGAGACATTCAGACACTGATTAATGAGTCTTCATCAGCACAAGAGGGTTATTGCTCTAGCTCTTCCTGTTTGGGCTCAACTCCACTTCCGTTATCTTCTCCTGATGCCACAACTGGGCATCAAAACCCCTTATCATACTCTCAGGATATCTGGCACTTTGCTGAGCAGATCATGAAGATGGTTAAAATCCCTTGAACTGGAGATTAAGCTTCCACCAGCTTCAGTCACTGACACTTCAAAATGACATGACCCCCCCCAACCCCCAGTATCAATACGAGTGCCTAATCTGTGCCATAAAACCCTAATCTGTGCCATAAAACAGTCATGGCGCTTGCACAGGATCAAGCCTTTAGGCCAGACCTGGGAATTGTACGGCCCACGGGCCACATCCGGCCCGATGGCTGACCTTGACTGGCCCGCATGAGGTCACTGGCAAATTAAAAGTCAATGCAAATATATATCGTCGTAATATAGATGCAAGCAATACAACTGCACTGCTTTTATTTTGAAGGATCTGCTAAATTGAATTGAATTTATTGCTTTTCATGTAATGTTAATGTTAATGTTTTTGTGAATATTCATTAAATAGTGTTGTTCTGTGCTCCACATTTTCATTGTATCATTGTAATGTTTCATTTACTGTTTTTATAGAGATACATATTGAGCAGAGCTGTAAGTGTATTGGTCCGGCCCTTAACAACTGTCAAAGTTTCTCATGTGGCCCCATAGGGAAATTAATTGCCCACCCCTGCTTTAGGCTGCTATATGATCACCAGTTACTTGGGAGTATGTCTCCTGGAACTCAGTGGGACTGCACTGTCAAAGGGTTATGTTGATTTTGATTCTGGGGTATGGCAGTGTCTTAACCTTAAGTTAATACTGCCACTGATACTTCCTTAGGAGATAAAAGGAATTCAGGAATGTTGACTTTCTAAAACACAAGCCTTTTTAGGAATTAAATGTTTACTTTCAATTCCATTATTGTGTTCCTTAATCTTTGTTTGGGTGACCAATATCCTGATCCTGTCGCTTAAAAACAAACTAGCTTTCAGAAATCTAGCACACACGGCTGAATCTGTTGCAACTAGAATAGTATAAGCTCAGGGTGTCATAAATATACGAAGAATAAGATTTTACTCTGTTCTGATTTATTTCTGAGAATGGATAAACCAAGCCTTTAGACTAAACTCTTGACTAGTCATTGATGATCCTAATATCAAAGGATGCTCATGAACATTTTAACTGTTGAGAGAATTAGAAAAGGAATGCTGTTCCATAAGAAAAGAGATTAAAAGTTTTACTGTTGTGAAAACTGCACACTGGGTGTGAAGGTACAGGTCCATGTAAGCAAGTGGGCCATAAGTTAATTTGAAACAACATGCCGGATCTTCAACTTCATGTCTACCAAGTAGTTTTCATTAAAGAGTTTGAAGGACAACTGCAATACACAGAACTATACCTGTCTGCCTTAAAGTATTTGGGGTATAATTCAACTTAAGTATAAAGAATACTTTAGGAGGATAAGTTAGAGTTATCATAATTAACTAAATGGATTCAGTCATAAGGATGCTCATTCCTGGTGAAATCTAGTAGCTTGGTGGGATTTTGAAAGGGTATTATGGTCCCTTTCGCAAAATTGGGGGCATGGCTGCTCATAAAACACCAGTACAAGTCATAGATGGAATCTGAGCATCAAGATCAAAAGATGGTGCACTTCATTTCTGCCAGCCTGCCAGTTAAAACAATACGCTCTTAAGAAATAAAAATCAAATGGGGCAGAGAGACTGGCAGGTACCAAGAACAATATTCATGGAGGCTGCATCACACTGGAGACCCCAATAAGTACTTTAGGAGGGAGCTAGAATTTGTTATAAATGCCTATCTGATGGAACTTTCCTTCCTTTAGGTGCTGACTCCAGCACAAATCAAATCAGTTTGTCAAGCGATTTTAGAATCTGGGAAACAGTATGCCCTGAGGAAGAGGAAACCGGTCCCTCTCATGTACTCTTACTATGGAACAGAATATCTTGGTGAGTAGGAATGTTCCTTGATTGATGGATGGATTGATTAGATTATATTTCTACACCACCCATCAGCCAAAAGGCTCCCTGGGAGGTCCACAAAATCAATATCATATTTCTATTACATTTAATGGTTCAGGAATCAAAGCTTAAGGCTGTAGTATGCACCTACAGCTCCTACAGGATTTCTGCAGAATAGAATGCACTCTTTGTGGGGCTGCCCTTGAAGACAGTTCAGAAGCCACAGCTGCAGAATGAGGCAGCCAGATTAATAACTGGGAACCAGAGGTCCAAACACATAAGACCAGTTCTGGCCTGTCTGCCCTGGATGCCTGTACACTTACAGTCCCAATTCAGGGTGCTGGTCTTAATGTATAAAGCCCTACATGGCTTGGCAACCCAATAGCTGTCAGAGCACCTCCCAACCCCTGTCTACCCAGACACTATGGTGAGCCTCTGGGGCTTTCTTCTGGGTATCAACCCCTAGAGAGCTTTGGAAGGTGCCAATTGGAGATGGGCCTTTCCAGTGGTGCCCCCCCTTCTTTGGAACAACCTTTCTGGTGCAACCCATCCGGTGCCAAACTTACCATCTTTTTGGTGCCAAGTTAAGACAGCCTTTTTTGTCATTCACTTACGCACTGCTACTATAGTGATGGCAGTTATTACCTACAGAAAAAAACAAAACAGAAAACCAGAAAATTTAGTAGCAGCTTGTCCCTCCCTGAATTCAGACTGCATGACATAGCATGACTCAACTATTCCTGTTGTCCCCAGGAGCTGCCCATGGGCTTTCATCCATCCTTCAGATGCTGCTTTCCTACTATGAATATCTCCCACCTGCTGATCAGGAGCTAGTGTGGCAGAGCGTTGACTTCCTCATGGATCAAGAACAGAATTGCAACTGGCCCCCAGAACTAGGAGAGATGATTGAGAGGGAGAATGAGCTTGTACATTGGTGTCATGGAGCTCCCGGTTGGTGAAGAGATCCCAAGACCAGTCATTAAAACATATTTTCACACAATGTCATTTTCTGGGAAACCAGGGCAGATTTTTAGTCTGAACTTTTTATTTTATTTATTTTTTTATTCTGAACTTGCATGAGATGCAATCACAGTGTTAATATAATGTCCTTACCATAAGTATTTTTATTATAACTGACATAACTGGATGAACAAGCAATGGAGGTACCTTTGCTTTGGCAGCCAAACCCAAATGCACCATGACATTGCTTGTTTGTGTGAGACACCAGAGGTTCCTTGCAAAAGGAAAAAAATATGCAAGATACAAGCATAGCAGACGAAGAAACCAAAGCTTCTCTTGGAAAGTCCTCTCTCTGGCAGAAATTGATGCAGAATAATTCTGCTGGGCCTCAAACCTGTTTGGGAAGAATCAAAAGGGTTATTCACTTTTGCAAGTGCCTGTTGATACCTCACAGTTCCTGTACCCCTGTGTGTAGGGATGCAGATCAGTATGGAAGATTTGCCTGTCATGCATTCAGGGCTAGCCCAAGATATTTTGCAGTTTGAAACAGTGCAGCGAATAACACTCCCCAAGAATTGTACGCACAAGACATTTTCCATTAAAAAAATCCCTCAACAACAGTAATACATTAAGTAACAGTTACTTAATCTGCTACCGAAGGTCAGGCTGCCTAAGGCCAGGCTCATATTCCCACAGGTGAATTGCACACTGCTGCATATTACCTGTACATGGATTCGCAATAATGGGGACAAGATAGACTAAAAGCCTTGTTTAGCCTTTGCCTTCTGCTAAATTTTCACATGCCCAGTTTCTCTGTGAGCCATTCTTTAATATCTGAAAATTCAATCTTTGCATATTATTCAGAATGCAAGCATAAAAGGAGCTTAAGAGTCTTTAGTTTGGCATGGAAAAGGGAATTGGCCTAGAAAAATTCAGTAGGAATAGCTGAGAAGTTTGAGTGCTAAGCCTGGTGGGAGCATGCTGAGAATTGTAGGGTTGTTGTGTGGGTGTTGGGTTTTTTTTTTGGGGGGGGGGACATCTCTAAATGTGCATAGAATTATACCTGAGTTCTCTTGTTATGGTATGGGGCATTTTAATGAGCAGCAGTGGTATATTTTAACTGACAGAAATTTGCACATTATACCCTGACCTGGGTGGAATTTATATCGCATTTTTTCCAAATTTCATTTCTTTGATTTCTTATAACATTTCCTTGCTCTTTCCCCAGGCATTGCATACATGTTTGCAAAAGCATACTTGGTTTCTAAGAAACCCCAGTATCTAGATAGTTGCATCCGCTGTGGAGAGCTAACTTGGCAGAAGGGACTACTGAAGAAAGGACCTGGAATTTGTCATGGTGTGGCTGGAAGTGCGTATGTGTTCCTGCTCCTTTATAGGCTAACGGGAAATTCCAAATACATGTACCGAGCACAAAGGTTAGTACTGGCAGACTGCAACAGAATCTTTTAGCTTTACTAATGCCTTTATAAAACATAGAACATCTCTGCAATCAGTTTGTGGTACACCTTTTCAGTGTAGTGGATCTTATTGCTAATTATTCTTTTCCTCTCAATGCAAAAAGCAATTCTGGGGAGGGGGTACCAATGCACCTTGGTCCTGCTGCCCCTACTTCCCACCATTGCAGCAATTTCTATCCTTTAAAAATCCAGGCATGTTAAATGCAATAAGTAACACACATTTCAATGACACGTGAAGGTTCATTCCACTGCTTCAAGCAGCATGGAGTTCCAAGCACAGTGCTACAGGTTTTCATTTCCTTTGAACAACAGAGTATTAAAAATACAGTGTTTTTGTTATATTTGCTTTATTTACAAATATGCAAGCAGGAGAGAAGTTGAAGCAAGCAGAGCAGTAGAATGTCTACCAGAGACCAGATTCCCAGAAAGAGACCATACTTTTTACAGTGCTCTGCTTTCAGCCTCCTTAGTGCCCTCCCCTCTTTATGCCTCTGTTGTTGGTCTTTAACACTTCCAATTCAGGGTTATCTCTTCTTCTGAAGGTTTATTGCCTATTAAAGAAACATCCATGGTCATTAAGAAATATTAAGTCTTTTGCCAAACATGTTAACTCTTATCAGTGGCCACTTCAGGCAAAAAACGACATTTACAGCTTTTACAGGTATCAGACTGCTGGCTCACAGCAATGCAACAGCTCCTCCATGAGGCTGTTGGAACTCTTTCATCCCAGCAAGCTAATGTCTAGGTAAGGGAACCTAGATAGACAGAGGAAGAGGAATCAGAGTGTTAACTGCATCTTGATTTCTTATCTCAGAATTTCTGCCTCCAAAGTTGTCTTTCACAATGTAAGTTTTGCTTTGGGAAGTAGGTATTAACAGTTTTATCACAAAACACATCCACTCTAACATCTTGTTGCTATCTGTAAGCTCAGTCAAGAGCACCTTCTTACATTCCTTCTCTCTGCACCAGTTTAAAGGTTGGAAGGCATATAGAGGTGATCTTGGTACCTGTCCCACCATTGTGGGAACAACCCACCATTTCAAAGTAAAGAGCTCACATTCTGGGCAGGTTCACAGCAACATTTGAAAGCTTGGTCCTGATACTTTGAAAAATAAAATTGCAATACCCTTTTAAATCCAACACATTGGTTGTGGTTGCTTAGGAACAAATCACAGAAAACATAGAAAACAGAGTGAGTCAGAAGGGACCTCCCGGGCCATCTAGTCTGACCTCCAGCACCAGCCGGCTCTGCTCATGACATGCCCACCGTGTGGACGTCCAGCCTATCCTTGAATACCCACACCGATGGGGCCTCAGCAACCTCTCGTGGAAGCCCATTCCACACCCTTGGGATCCTGACTGTCAGGAAGTGCTTCCTGGCATCCAAACGAAACCTTGGCTCCCTGAGCTTTGCTCCGTTGGAGCGCGTTCTGCCTTCCTCTGCAGGGGAGAACAGGTCTCTACCCATCTCCATGTGACATCCCCTTACATACCTGTATGCCGCCAGCATATCCCCTCTGAGTCTCCTCTTCTCCAGGCTGAAGAGACCCAGCATCCTCTGCAAACCGGCCACCAACCTTGTAGCCCTACGCTGCACTGACTCCAACCTGGCTATATCCTTTCTGTAATGAGGGGCCCAAAACTGAACACAATACTCCAGTTGCGGGCGCACTAGAGTCGTGTAGAGTGGTAGTAATACCTCTCTTGATCTAGAAGCCACATTTCTGGCTATGCAACCAAGGGTGGCATTTGCCCTCTTGACCACTGCATCACACTGCTGACTCATGTTTAGCCTGCAGTCAACCAGTACCCCGAGGTCCCTTTCACAAGTGCTGCTCTCCAGCCACTTGTCACCTAACCTGTACTTATGACAGCTATTCCTATGCCCCAAGTGCAAGACCTTGCACTTAGCCACATTGAACGCCATCCTGTTGTCTCCTGCCCACTTCCATAGTCTGTCCAGATCCTTTTGGATCTGGAGTACCTGCTCCTCAGTTGTGGCCACTGCTCCAGTTTTAGTGTCGTCTGCGAATTTGATCAGCAGACTGTTCACCCCTTCTTCCATGTCATTAATGAAAAGATTAAACAGGATCGGCCCAAGGACAGAGCCCTGGGGGACCCCACTTGTCACTGGCTGCCATCCTGATGATTCCCCGTTAATGGTTACCTTCTGCTTTCGGTCAGTCAACCATGCCCTAATCCATCGGACAGTGCTTTGGTGTATCCCAAAACTCCTCAGTTTCTCCACCAGGATATCATGGGCACTTTGTCAAAGGCCTTGCTGAAATCCAGGTATACCACATCCACTGCATCCCCTCCTTCTAGCCATCGCAAAACCTTGTCATAGAATTCCACTGAATTCTAAATCCAATGCTTGTGTTTTTTTTAAAACACATTGCTCTGACTTGCTATAAAACCTGGGCAAGTTGAGTGAGCGAGTTACCACTAAAGCAGTAGCCTAGTGCTTTAAGACTCCACACCACCACCACCATCACCCAGCTGTCAGCTGGGTGGGGAAGTATGTTTAAATTGTGGAGTGTTGGGCTTGGGACAGGGCTTTCTCCTATCTTTCACCCTGTCCATTTATTGTTAGTTACCCTACATTCTGCTTATGAGTGTGTGTTTAATAAGTGTGTGTCTGATTTGGCCCATATTATGGCTCATAATAAATTGAAACACATGTGCTTTCCAGGAATAATAGGGCTAAAACATGGTAGGAGGTAATCACTGCTTCCAAAATGTTACACCTCTGTGAAATTGTTGTCCAAAGTTGTACCTGAGCATCTTGGAAAAGCATGTTGCACTTTTTATAGTCCACAATGAGATTAAAATATTGCTATTTATAAGCCTAAGCATTTTTCCTGCTCTTACGTTCTTAACTATGGTCCATCAATCCATCAATTCAAATGCAATCAATTGGAGGGGAGGACTCTTGAAATGAAAACAATTCAGTTCTCTGTAATTTCAATGATGTGGATAGTTTATTCTTATTCTTTATACGAGAGTCAATTTGTTGCACTGATGGGGAAATTGAAACTTAAAAATAGAAAGAGTGTTAAGCAAGTCAGACTGACAGGCCTGGAGCCAACTAGGTTGTATGTGAAAGCTGGAGCAGGAAACGGCATCAAGGCAAGATATAATTTTGATATGAGGTTTAGCATAAGAGAAACAGGTTCCAAAAAGAAATGGGACCATGTGGCACAAATGTCTGCAGAGGAAGATAAACGGAAGGAAAAATCTAGAATCAGATCTAGAAAAGTTCAGATAGTATGGCAAGTTCATGAAGAGACCCTGGTCCAGACATGCATTTGTTGCAGCACCTGCTGGGCCCCCAATTACCACCCTTTTCCTGATAGGGCTGTAGACTGTCTGGAGCCAATCAGGGCAGAGCAGGGAACAGATGTGGCACAGATGAAAAAGTGCAGGGTTCGGCTGGATTTGATCCCAGTGGGACACTGATATCTAATACAAAGGCAATAGAGTAGGACTAGTAAGTGCATACGTCCATAAAACATATGAATATATTATGTTTTGTTCTGAGAAAAATGTTAGCTGCCTTGAAAAAGCAACCAGCCAATAATGCGTTTTTCCTATCTTGCTTATTTTTTAGGTTTGCTGAGTTCTTGTTTACTGAAGAATTTAAAGCTGGTTCCAGGGCATTGGAAAATGTTTACAGTCTGTTTGAAGGTTTCTCAGGGACAATGTGTTTCCTGGTTGACTTGCTACAACCTAACCAGGCTGAGTTCCCCCTCTTCAGTGTCTTTGTGTGAAATGGAACATGCTCCAATGCCATGCCAGGACAGTTCAGTATAAAGGAAGTCTATATCTAAAGAAAACATCCATTGCAGTGTTACCACTAATGAGGTAGCCTTATATATTCTTGGGGTGGGAGAGAGAGAAGCACGTGAAAGCCATATATATATGCAGACACATGCGTGCAGATGTGCACGCATGCACACCCACACGCACACATATATGCTGAGGCTTAGGAAAAGGAGAGTGTAGCTTCAAACAGTAACTAACAGTTTTAAACAAAGCTCTGTATTTATTCAAAACTGAAAAGAAAAAAAGAATTCATATGAGTGAAGAAAAATTTACATGTCTGTTTCATAATAATAAGCAGCTTGTTGAAGTGGCAACATGGATATTTGAATTTTAGGAATGTGCAAGTGGAGAACAAAAAAATAACTGAATTAATACACCGTCCTGTACATGTTTGTACCCTAGCTGGAGAATGCTGAAAGTTGGACTTTTTCCTGTATAAACATGCATAGGATTGCCATCACTAGCTAAAAAGCACAATCACCCTGCTAAACTTTGGTGGGGAGGCAGGCAATACAAATTTGGAATGTCAAATTTGTAGGTATTTATTGTTCTATATTTATTCTGTCTGTATGTATTGCTATGCATGCATATATTTAACACTGACAGAAACAAAGCATCCTGGTTCTCAAGGTGTGAGATGGAGATTAATCATCATTATTTCCTTGACTTCCCCAGAAAAGATCCAAGCAATTTACACAAAGCAAAATATCTTCCTTACCCCCTACTGATAGTTCTGCTTGTCTTCAGGGCTCAATAAGGCAGAGTTCTCAAACTTCTAATAATGGATTGGCAAATATTAAAGTATTTCCAGGTGCACAATACACAGGAGTAAATGCCAAAGAATACCTGAGAAATGTCACCATGCTGGTTTGCCTTCTTTTGAATCCTCCCCTGTAGGAAATATTTAACATGACTGCATGCTTCTTCAGAGGTAAGCCACTGATTTCAGTGGAACTTGCTTCCTAATAAGCACTTATTGTATTGCAGCCTTAATTTTGGGGAACCTAGTATAATGAAATATGGGTACCATTATTTGATTTGTGATACATATCATTCTCAACACTATAACATGTAAAGTACAATGTAAACAAGAAGTGAGTTTGACCTGTGAACCAAGTGAAGAATAAAGGCATCTTCCTGAGCTCTTTATAAAACTAATCTTGCAAAGAAGAATACAAAACACATGCACACAAGAACCAGCTCAGTAAGTGGAGCATTGGGAGTGTGGAAAATCAGTTATGTTTCCTGCATTATGTAAGATAATAAAATAAGCATCTCAACACAGTGACAGTGATAAAAAGCTACTATCAATACATAATATTTATTGCAGTCTCTAACACAACAGTAATGATTTTATTGCTAAAATCAAATGGTAAAGACCTGTATATACACTTTAAAAACAAGCACTGTCTTACTTTCTAAAAAGCCACCAAGGCTGTGCACAGTAGTATAAAACAATAAAGCTTATTAAATACAGGGATCCTAATAGCTAGCAGGAGAACTTGTGCTAAGATAAAGGCCTTTTTCTGGTTAACAAGTTAATGCTTTTCCTGTAAGCAACTCCAAGAACTGTATAATTATTCTAACAAAGATTTGTGGCCTCATCTGGAAACTGCTTTAGCTTGACTGGATCTTTTCCTTCCTTCTTCTCTCTTTCCTTCTACTTAAGTCAATTTGTTAAAGCACACCACTCTGATTTCAAAATAGCCTTAGAGTGTTTTGATGATACGACAGTTGTGTATGTCTCGTAAAATGTAAAACAAACTGTAGTTACAGGTTTGTCAAAGCACTGTGGTTATGATCCTTCTCCGTTGCAATATCCAAACATCAAGGACTCTTCACAGGGCTTAACAAAGTTTATGTCTCATCATCCCCACTGAGCAGCTGTTAAGACAATACAGTCCCTTTCAGTATAAGTGCTGTGCCAGCACAAAAAATAGCCATACCCTTTGGGTGCAGTTCTGCTTCTGTCGAAGCCAATAGCAAACTTATGGAGCTGTAGTCTAAAGCAACTAATTGCTTTTTCATATTACATCAAGAATGTAAGAGGAGCTATACTAGATCAAGCGAAGGACCCATCTAGGCCAGTATTCTGTTCACACAGTGACTGAGCAAATGCCTGTGGGAAGTCCACAGCAGGGAATGAATGCACTAGCACCCTCCCACCCATGCTCCAAAACCACTAGCAAACAGAAGCACATCAGCTCTGCTGCTGGAGACAATATGCAGCCATCAGGGCTCTCCCACACTGGAGACATTAAAGAGAACTCCATGTCCTTATGGGCCCCTTCCAACACTACTATTCTAAGATTCTGTTATCAGAACTAGCAGCTGTTGATAAACTTATCCTCCATTAATTTGTCTAATTCCCCATTTGAAGCCATCCAAATCATTGGCCATCACCACGTCTTGTGGCCACATATTCCATAGTTTCACTATGCACTGTCTGAAAAGCAGTTCCTTTTATTTGGCCTGAATCTCCCTCTGTTCAGCTTCATTGGTTCTATTATCTTGAGAGAAAGAAAGAGAAATGGCTCCCTAGCCAGTTCTCCCAAGCATGCCTAAATTTATACACTTCTATCATGCCTCTGTTTATTCGCCTTTTCCCTGTGTGATGTGTTGTAATATTTCCTCATAGCAGAGCTGTTGCAAGGTCATTTTGGTGGCCCTTTTCTGCACCTTTTCCAAATCCATACTATTCTTCATCAGAACTATACAGTGACCAGAATTACATAGTTTTCAAGTATGGTCACATATTAGATTCATATAAGAGTATAATGATATTGGCAGTTCTTTTTATCCTATTCTATCCATACGCAACAAGAAATTTGCCTTGTCACAGTAATTGAATACTTATATAACATTTTCATTGAACTAATTAGCACAACCCTAAAATCTCTTTCTTAGTCAGTCATCTGTGACTGGGACTCATCAGTACATTTGTGAAACGTGGATTATGTGCCACAACGTACCATTTTAATGCCCATTAACCCAGTTTGGAGACATCCATGTACCTTTTTACATCCCTCCTTTGCAACCCTACTCTCTGCTTTGTGTTGCTTAACTAGTTAACAGTTCATAAGAGAAGGGTTTCCTTATCCCATGACTGCTAACTTTGCTCAAGAGTCTATTGAGAGATATATTTAATGCCATGTCCTCATAACATATCAGAAAATTACATATAATGCATATACATAATGTACATGCTCTGTATATAATGCATATACTCTGTAAATTTAAGATGGTGATATGAGTTAAATTGAAGGGTTCCAACATAATAAAGCCTCATGCAGACATGAGTTTCCATTCTGCTCTCTAGGAGCTCCACACATGTGATAGGAAATGGCCATGAACACTTGGAAATGTGTTCATGTGGGCAGGTCCACTCTTGTGTGTTTTCTTTTGACTGATCCTCTCTTTCCATGCAATCTTGCCCACATAGTTAGAATATTTAGACATGTTTGCATACCCAAAGAAGCAAAGGCAAACTGCAAGATGCACAGACAGTTGACTTTGCTGTCCTCTTAGGCTTTGGTGTATAGCAGAGGCCAGTGTGATCCAGTGTTTGGAATAGTGAACATGAATGGAGGTCATTTTTAGAAAGATTCCATTTTATCCATTATTTCACTCTCTGACTTGAAGCAAATGCAGTCCTTCACTTGAAGTTACCTAATGTTACCTGATAATAACAAGAATGGCCTACCTCACAGAGCTGTTATGACAAGGCAGAGTATTATAAACCCTGGCTGTTCTGCAAGATAGCTACCATAATCCTATGCATGTTTATCTAGAAGTAAGCCTCACAGAGTTCCTTGGTACATACCTCCAGGTAAATATATACAGAATCACAGCCTGAATCATGGCCTGTGTTAGTCTGTTGCTGCAAAAACAAGAAAGTGTTTTGTGACACTTAAAAATTTGTCAAATGTGTTATGTCATAAGCTTTTGTGAACTAGTCCATAGAAGCTTATGCCATAATTCTTAAATGTCTGCAACATTCTTTGTTGTTTTAGCTTAAAGTATAGTAATAGCACATGGAGAATTTAGGATTTCATGTTCCATTAGCAAATGCCATTACTTTCACCTTCTGTAGAACTCCTTGCTCTGAAGACACTGGGCCTCATGTGCAGGGAAATACCTCCCTGTTTCAGTAGTCTTAAATTTTTTCAAGGAACTCTATTCTCTCTCAGTGAAAACAAAAAGAGCAATTTTGCCAGCAGTTCTAATAAAAGCAAACTCAGCACATAAGAAGAGTCATGCGAGATCAAGCCCAGGGGTGATCCAGTCCAGCATTCTCTTCCTTTAGGGGCAACCAGCTGCCTACATTATCCCTTCAACAAGGTATGAGTAAAACAGTCCCCTTCTGCCCAAGTTCCTCATTGGCGGGTGTATGCAGGCATACCAGCTTTGTCACCAGAGGTATCACACAGCCATTAAGACTCATGGCCATTGACAGCCTCCTCCACCTCCACAAATGTGTCCAGTCCCCTTTTAAAGCCTTAATCGTATCATAATAGATATGCACATGCAACTACATATATTCTTTAGCCCTTTGGGCAGATGATCTAGCTTTGACAATTCATGGTCTTCATCCAACTTGTGAACAAAAATACCCAACACAAAAGAGAAGCATTATTTCTTAAAAATTCACCTTTACTTACAAAAGTATGTGTAAAGGAGTAGCCCAAGTTTACACTAATGGCTTTCTCATTATTGACAAAACACAGTAAATGGTTTGATAATATTTCCCAATAGAATATTGGGAACATTACAACATTATCCCATGTTGTAATAAATCCAGTCATAAAACACACTTCCTGGAGAGGCAGCCCTACTGGTTTCCATTGAGGCACATTACATATCCAAATCATTTATCCGACTTGCATTCTCCATGTGGGAAGAAATTCTTTTTATCCCTTTCCTTCCATCCTTGCAGAATCTCCTAAAATACTGCAGATTTTGTTTTGTAGATACAGCCACCCGGTGTCTTAAACAATGTGGAAACTGGTTTTCCTTATTGCAGATTTGTTTGCAGATTGTTTTTTCTTATTGCAAACTGTGTTCTGAAATAATGCCATGTCAAAGTATTAATAACATGCAAAACCTACCTAAATCTACAAAGGGGAAGCTCTTTTACAATTGGGCTCTCCAACATGGTATAGTTGTAGCATTTCCCCCTCTCTTCCAAATTAAGGGTGCAACCCTATACATGTTAAGACCAAAGGGTTCTGCAGCTTTCAGCATGTTCTAGCCAGCCAAGCTGTCTGACAAATGCTGGAAGTTATAAGATGTCTTTCTATCTTAATATGCACCTTGGAACATTTTTTTTAAACTGGGAGGCCAGTTTTCTGTAAGATGAACCAGTGCCATCTTTTTTAGGTTCAAAGAGTGGCTTTGTGTTTTAGAGATTGGAGTCTCACCCTGACTTGTAACTGGGTTTTTGAGCAAGTTACTTTTCATTTAGTTTTGCCAGTTTGCTTTTTGGGAAATTAATGTTTTGTAACCAGACATGCCTGCCATGCAGCCATTTTATAAACGGGCAAGCCCCACCAATGAAAATGCTGTTGCAGCACCCACATTTCTCAAAGCTTCAGACATGTCCACTGGTCCCAAATGATGAAGATCTCCATCTTACAAATTTAAGTGTGTGCGTGCTGATTTGGAATTCCTTCCATGTTGAATGCGACTGACTCCTAAGAAAGTGTATAGCATTGCAGCAGCCCAATTTAAGTCCTTAAATGTGATAGGGTGCTTATATGTGTAATTAAACAGATATTTCAGTAATGCATTTTTCCAGTTATGCTTTCTTTAAAAAGTCTACTGTTAATCTTTGCCATGTATTGTGTGCCTATTTATGATGCATATGTCTTGTGTACTAGTGTAATAGATTTCAACCTAAGTGGGCTATAAGCATTACTAAGATATTTCAACCAAACAGAATTGTAAAGAACAAATATCAAAGAACAGTCATTAGGTTATTGTTATTAATCTTTTTCTTAGAGCTGAGCTATTGCTTTAGTAGTGGATTTTAGTAGTACATTTTAGCTTTTTCTATAGCCTTGAACAATGTTGCGAGTTTGGTCTTAGCCTTGTTTATGTTCCCTGACCCTGGAATGTCACAAGTAGTTTGTGGAAGCTGCATAAACTTCTGAAACCCTTTGAGCTCCCCACATTTTGAGCTTGTGCGATGTAACTTGAAGAGCGGAATTGTCCATTCATTTACAAGAAGTTATTTCGGTATTCCTAGTCTCTGTATGAGCTCTTATTTCTCTGCCTGGGCAAGTGATCATCTCCATGCTGCACTGAATTCAGATTATTCACTACAGCATACAATAGTGGTGAGAGACTTGGGAAATCTGGGTTCTAGTCCCTATTTGGCCATGAAGCTCACTGGGCCAGCCACTGCCTCTCAGCCTAAGCTACCTCACAGGGTTGTTGTTGTGAGGATAAAATGGAGAGGAAGAGAATTTTATAAGCCACCTCGGCTTCCTTGCAAGAGGAAGAAAGTAGGCTTTAATCAATTAATTATTTAATTAATAATATTAATTAAAAAGAATCCACAGAACATATGTGCAGTTCAACAACACTGAACATCTCTTGGGACAATCACAAGTAGTCAAGTAAATGAGGCCAAAAATACATGTTTTAAAATATATAATTGAAGATGGATGCAAGATCATTCTTAGGAATCTTTTCATACATTTAACTGTCCTTTATTAAAGGGAGTTTGCAGTATTATGCTTCACACATACTGAATTCAAGTAGCAGGCTTACCACAGTGTCTATGACAGTGCATGTATTTCCCAGGTTCCTGACACAGAGGAAGGAAAATACCATAGTCACGATCTGTTGGAATCTCAACATGAATATTTCTATACAGGAACAAATAAGGGTGTATGAGGAGGCATACCATTTCCTGTGTTAGTCCACTATCAGAAACCATGATACTGACCAGCTTTCACAGATACATGATTGTGCAAGTAGGAATGCAAGGGTGTAACATACTTTAGGACAATACATTTATAGTGCAGCCCTTTGCATGTTTACTCAGAAGCGAATTCCTCTGAGCTCAGTGAGATGTATTTCCAAGTAAGTGGCACAGAATTGCTGCCTTACAGCACAATCTTTGGCAGGTTTACTTAGAAGTATATCCCTCTAAGGTCAGTATGCTTGGGACTGTAGCTTAAAAAGTAACAAGCCAAATCCTATACTAAGAGAAAAATATGCATAATGCGAAGCCATTAGCTAGCAATACTCAGGGCCCGTGACACAATACACCATTCAAGGGACGTGAGTTGGTATATTCCAACTAAGCACAGATTTTGATTCATTACATGACTATTTATACCCTGAATACTGCATTTATGCGCTAAATAGCCTTGACAAATGTAAACATTAATCATAAAAGACTGTCATCATCATCACTGTATAGATGAAGAATTTGCGTTCATACTAAATTTGCTAACAGTTGTATCTACTGCTATTAATCTATATGTTTCTCTTAACTCTATAGTTTCCTTATGATAAAATGTTCTATTCGTATGACTGTTTACACACCATAGACAAGATGTAGCTACATTATTTCAAGACAACCTTTATTACATTTCTCATTGTAGTATGTCAGAGTGTATTATTTTAGCTGTCATGTGCTTAATCTTGTAATATTTTGTAATATTGTAAACATACACACATAACAACAGCTCTTTAGATAAGAGTTGGTAGTTTCTGGGTCTAACATAGGCCCTGTTTTTCACATACCAATTCTGATAGAACTTGATCATCCATTAGATGCAACTACACTGATGTAATATAAGAAATCATGTGATAGAACTAAAACTCATTTTGCAAGGCAATGCGCTGCTTGCTAGTCAAACATATTTTATAAAGCTGTATTCCAAACAATATTATCTAATGCTGGACCAAAAATATTTTCTGTACTATGACTATATAATACAACAGAAAATATTTTTTCAAATTCTTAAGTTTTATGCAGAAGGAAACTAATTTCAGACAATAGGTTTCATGTTTAATCTTTCTTGTTATGCTGGATGAAAAGAAAGGAATATAGTAGTTCAATTCCACATTTGGGGCTGTTTCTGGTAGGGTCTGCTGCAAGAAGCTCCAGTGACTTTGCCTTCCTATTATCAACAAATCACCAACCCAGCTTAGTGCTGAATGATGAAAGGCCAGAGACCACTTCCTTGAATGCAAACACACACTGCTATTCTTTGATTTCTGAACACTCTGGAGAATCAGAATCGCATGTTATGCATAGAAATGTTGCTGTGGTCTGCAGTGGATGTAGAATCTTACCCCACATCTCTCTGAAGACAGAAGAACTCTTACTGACATTAGTCCATAGGGTGTCAGAGCCCCAGTTTGATAGCAGTATACACAAGTTTTGCTTAGAGTAATATGTATATAAGAGTCAGCAAAGTACAGGAAGAACTATTTTGTGTTGCTGTTGCATACCCTCTGATGGTAACCTCTGTTCATTCGTTTTTGCATTTGGTATTCACAAATAAGGAACTTTGGTATCCTCAGCTTTGCTATCTGCTCACTCCCATCAAATGGATAGTCTCTTTAGAATCAACAGAATTTACTCTTACAGGATTGCACCTTAATTTAAATTAAAAACCCTTGCCTCTATAATGTTTTAAGCACTGTGATGTTTCCAAATGTGATTATTGTACTAGTTTTGTATTGTAAATTAGAGACATATAAAATAAGGATTTTTTAAAGCTGTGATCAAAATACTAGCTTAGCAATGACAGAAGAATTTCCCTTCTATCCATGTTATTTATGTAAAACCAGTGTGGTATCTTGCCTTAATTCCAATAAAGCATAACTGTATGTGCCGTGGCCTTTTTATATTTATTGAACAATGGCATAGTGAGACATAATGCCAGACTAAGGCGCAGTATTATGTGCATAAACATCTGCCTCACACACTATCCCTGCCCTTTGGTACAGCCTTGAGAAGGCAAGCAAATGATTTTGCTTCTGTTTCCAGTTTGAATGTGTGAACCCTAAACTGTGGTATATGAAAATAAGCCACTCTCAGAAGCTACTCTCTAAGTAGACCACAGTTAAGACTCAGTGTGTACATAATAAACTGAGCTTAGTGAAAGCTTCTGACCTAGCTCTCTTGGTTGAACCAGAAGTGAAGAAGTGAGGGGGTGCATATAAACCTGGAGTTTCTCAACCAGAACAGTGACTCTCAGATTGACCCTCAGTCACTTACACCCTTCACTCTGAATAGGTATATGCTCCATGGAATAACCTACATGCCAAGCAAGGCTCAGTAGTGGCAGGGGGTTGGTCTTGGAGATTCCTTCCAACTTTATGATTGCATATTTATTCTAAGTATGTTCTCATGGACATAACTCCTGAGAGAGTCTGCATAGGAACAGCCTTAGATTTATTTATTTTTTGATTTATATCCTGCCTTTTTCCTACGAAGGGCTCAAGGCAGCTAACATCTCCTCCTCCATCTTATCCCCACAACAACAACCCTGTGAAGTAGATTGGGCTGACAGTCTGTGACTGGTCCAAAGTCACCCAGTTGGCTCCATGGCTCAGCAGGGACTAGAACCCAGATTGCCTGAGTCCCAGTCCTATGCTCTTAACCACTACACCACACTGATTTAAATTACATTATTTGCTCAACATCCTAAATCTAGAATAAGTTCTACACACAGGTGTGAGTTCTGTGGCACATGAAATAGTAACCTAAATTTATTCTGATACTCATGTTGAAAAGGGAAATACCACTGTGCAATTTGATGGCATTTTTATGGCAATCCCTGGTATAAAAATTTTCAGTATCTGAAAACTGACAAGAATCTCATTCAAAAGTGTTAAAATGATGATGATAATGTGATAGGGATTGCCTCAAAATTTCCCATCATACTTCTTGTCTGTATTACTTAAGCACTAAACTACACATGACTAAGAGGAGTGTGAAACATTTTAAATAGCTATGAAGAATCAACAGACATAATTCTGATCATTCTGTTGGGGGTGAAATGAAGGGATGACACAAAGGGATCAATGCCCCTTCCTTTACAAGAAGTAAAATGTTTAGGGGATCATTGTTCAACTGTTTCATGTAATTAGCATGAGTGGAAAACATGCTTTTAAAATGTCAAGCTAACATTAATGTGTTTGATTTCTGATGGCAGCTTCACACATGCAAGAACACCAGATTAGAGAGAAGGAAAGCATGCACTGCACTCATGCTCAGAGCCTAATGGTGCAAACAGCAGACCCTCCTGTCGAGGTTTCTGGGACCTCTGTGAGCATGCAGAAAAATTCAGCAAGTGCAGGCTTTTTCCACCAGGAAAGCATAGGCGACTGACGCCTGCTGGATGCCTGCCTGTCAAGCCCATGAGGCCTTGAGGCAGGCAAGGGGGCGGCCAGGTCAAGGTGGCACAACAGCTAACGCACTGGTCGTTTTGCCAGTATCGGCTTTACATGGGGTGCAGCTGGGCTGCACTAACGCTAGGCTCAGCCCCCGGAATATCGTAAGTCTTCTGGACGAGTGGACCTCTGCTCCCGCACAGGCCAGCAGCGCGTCCTAATACACCTGGGTCTAAGGGCGTTCGGCCAGCTGCCACGACCTCCCGCAGGCTGGAGGCCCGCAAGGGGCCCCCGCGCCCCCAGGGCCCACCACCCACTAAGCCCAGCCGCAGCAAGCGGCGAACCCCTTCGAGCGCCGCGCCCCGACGCGGCGTCGCGTGCAATTGGGCGGCCCGCGCCGCATCGTTCCCAGGCCTGCCCCCTAGCGGGCATCCCTGGCAGGCGCCGCCCGCCCAAGACCGCGGCGCTGGGGCGAGCAGAGATGGGCGTCTGGCGGCCGCGGCTCGCCGCGCCGGGGCAGCCGTCCCGCTCGCGCCTCGCGGCCCGCTGAGCAGCCGGCGGCTGGCCTTCTGGCGGCAGCCGGCACGCAGGGGCCATGAAATTCCCGGGCTCCGTCCTCATCTCGCTGTTCCTCTTCGTGGCCGAGACGGTGACCGCCCTGTACCTGAGCAGCACCTACCGCTCGGCGGGGGACCGCATCTGGCAGTCGCTGACGCTGCTCTTCGCCCTCCTGCCGTGCGTCCTGGTCCAGTTCAGCCTCGTCTTCATCCACCGCGACCTCAGCAGGGACAGGCCGCTCGTGCTGCTGCTGCACATCCTGCAGCTGGGACCCATTGTCAGGTGGGTGGGGCGGCGGCCGCGGCGCTGCAGCCCTCAGCCGGGCCAAGGGCTCGCGGGCGGGGGGGGGGGGGGGGCCCCCCCTTTTCAAACCAAAACCCCCCCCCCCCCGGGCCGGAAGCGCCCCGCCGCAGCAGAGCGCGAGGGCTCGGTCGCCTCGCGGAAGGCGGGGGGGGGGCTGGGGGAGCCCCCGCTCGTGCCCAGGTTCGATTCCCGCCATCGCCAGGCAGGGAGGGGGAGGGGGGACTCCTGGCCAAACTATCGGAGAGACCCTGCCAGTCAGTGTCGGCGACGCTGGGCTCGTGGGCCAGTGAACTGCTGCCGATGGATCCGCGTGGCTCAGGGAGGAACTGATTGAGGAAGGGAAAGAGCGTAGCTGCTGGGGTACAAAAGCAAAGCGCTGCAGGACGCGTTCACTTTTTAGATGCTAGAAATCCTTTGTCTCTCCTTCTTTGCATATGGTCCAGTACGCAGCTAAATTTCTGCTAGGAATGTCCTCCGTGATGTGGGTTCTCAGCACAGTTGCAGTTTTGCATGTGAACCTTAACCGTGGTGAAGGAGCGTGCCAGCCTTTGGAAAAAGGCAGGGCCATCTGAAGGGTGTGTTTTTGTAAACCAGGGACAGGGAACATGTGACTCTCCGGATGTTGTTGGACTGCATCTCCCATCATTCCTCACCATTATTTATGTGGAGGGCACACATCTGGAGATGGGCCACACGTTCTCAGCTGTAATGCTTGTCTGTAAGGAGGAACATCGTGAGAGCGGATCTGGAGAAAATAATGTATCTCTGTACCTCCGTTATTATTCACTTCTGGGGTTAGAACAAAATATCTGAACCAATAAACAAGATTGCATTTTAAAGTGAGAGGATGAAAAGTGAAGTGATAGTACTATGTACCCATTTACCTGAGGGTAACTCTCGCCAAATACATTAGATCTCACTTCTGAGCAAAGATACAGTATTGTGCTGTGAGTTTCTTGTGGGTTGCCCCAATTACACATATTTGTTTAACATAATTCTTTTATTTGCATCTAGAAGCTGTTGAAGACTTGCTGAGGCACTCTATTGTTTTTGTTACCATAATATTGCTAATGCTGTAGGCATCTCTTTGATTTTTATTTTTCAAATCATCCAACCAAATAATTTACAATTGCAGAGGAAATGTTACCAAGGACAGGTCTTGCAATTCCTTACTTTCAAGGCTCATAGATTTTTAGAACTCTGAGGTAAATACATTGCAACATCTTATCAGACAGGGAGCAATTTAAGCAAAAATCTAGCAAAATGTCAGGCAACATTAAGAGGGAAAAATTTTCATAGACTGATAGAACAATAGGGTCAGAAGGGGCCAAGAAGGCCATCAGGTCCAACCCCTGCTGGTGCAGGACACCAAGTCATACCATCCCATTCAGATGACTGTCCAGTTTTGCCTTGGATGTCTCTAGTATGGGAGAGCCCACAACCTCTCTTGGCAAATCGTTCCACTTCATCTCACTCTGACAGTCAGGAAGCTTTTCCTGGTGTCTAGCCTGAATCAGGTGAGCTGTAGTTTTTCTTTGTTCCATGTCCTACACTCAGGAATGAGTGAGAAGTCTTTTCCTTCCTCTTGGTGACAGCCTTTGAGGTACTTGGGACTGATTTCTTAAAAAGAGTGTTCTGAACCTTTGCAGTGTTGAAACTGGCTTCATCAGAGTCTGAAATGGTGCTGCATGATGGAAAATGAAGACTAGCTGAATGGCCAGTTTCACTGAAACTTCACGGACTGCCAGTTTGTTATCTGGGCCAATTAACAGTGTTGACATTGTTAGTCCTTAAAGCCCTAAACCAGGAGTAGGCAATTTGTGACCTTCCCAGTGCCTGACCTGCAATTGCAATGGTCCCTCACCACTGCCTGTGCTGGCCAGCGATGATGGGAGGTGTAGGCCAAAACATCTGGAGGGCCACAAGTTGGCCACCCCAGCCCTGAACAGTCATGGTTGAGCACATCCTGGGCTTTAATTGCCCATACAGGCTCCCTTGAGAAGTTTGCCCAGCTTCTGGGGAGCATTCTCTGAGACAATCTCAGTTGGAGGGGAGTGAAAGAAGGGGCCTTTTCCATCACAGCACCAAGAATATGTCCTGTTCTTCCTGGACAGGTTCTGCTGGACCTGTTGTTGCTTGTCCATCTTGGTATCCACAAAACATGAGCTCACGGGTGTCCATGTGTAATGATGAATACAGGGACTTCTCTACATGAGGAGTTTAACTTGCTGCTGTACGGAGGCTCTTCCATTTTCACTCAGGAGTCAAAATGCATCTGTGGTGACTTTTCCTAGGGGCTTATGTTGTTTGTGTTTCTGTATATTCCATTAACCAACCACAAGGTAGCACTGCAGCACAACTGTTGTATAGTTAATAGCTAGTCTTTTCAGGATACTTTTGTTCTGTTTTGTTGTGATTTAAAATTTAATGTTGTCCTTGTTCTAAGAAAACCTGCACAAACAGCTGAAAAACTCAGAAGAAGCTCTGGAGAAAAATTGTGGGAAGGCCTCCTAAATTTTCATGTGTTAGGGATCACAGGTGCATAATCAATGGCTTGTATCAATGACTTGTATAGGGAAGCCCTAGGACTGAAAGTACCTTTACCAGATGTGTGGCATATACACTACAAATATAAATGCTGTTTCTCAACAACTTGAGGAGAAACATGGAGGGAGACAGCTGGATCTGCCATTCAAGACCAAGACTGCACCCATAGGTTGGATCCGATTTTAGCCATACTCAGCTATTGCAATCTACAGAGTTAAGTTTGTCTGAGTTAAGTTCTATTGATTATGTCTATGCTAAATGCAACTAAATCTTGAATACAGACCTTTATTTTTTTGGGCACTAACCCTAAAATGCATACACAGGCTTGCTTAGAATACCCACTAAGCCCAGGGGTGGGCAACTGGCATACAACTCCCACCAGCCCTAATGAAATCAGATGATAACCTTAGGCAAGCGATTCTCTCTCAGCTCAACCCATTCCTCCTGTATCTGCCATATGGGCATAATAAGGGTCAAATTCCCCATCCACATCACAGCTGATTTTCCTTTCACAATTAAAGAACTTCTAGAGGAGTGGTTGTCTAAGTCTGTTGCAGCAAAAACAATGCAGACTTTGAAGTCATTTATAATGGTGTAAGCTTGCACCAGCTAGCAAAAAAAGATGGTGAAAAAGCAATTTGAAGTGGAAAAGGGTTACCTGTTTTTGCAGCCGTTCCTGACTGAAGCCTCCTAAGGCTCTCTTTCATCAGGGATGGAGAAACTGTGGCTTCCAGATGTTTGAGTCTAGCTACCATCACCTGCCACAGGTGTGCAGCTCAATAATACCTTCTAAGAATATCTTTTAGGATTGCTGAGATAATATGGAGACCTTATATATGCCGTGGGAGAGTAAACATGCCTGGCTTCCTATTGGCTATATAGGAAATATATGATGAACAGTAGTCCTATGTGGTCCTTCTACAGTGCAAAAGATAAGAAGAAAATAAGAACTGGGAGTATGCCTAGGCCTGGCCTCGCACAATGCATAGGGGGTCCCCCATCACTGAGTGTTATCTTAGCTGCATTTAGAAAAGTTAACCACTATGTAATCAGAGACAACATTTAAAACCATTCTGAGCTTCTAGCAGAACTTGACAGCTTCTTTGGTTTTTGTTTCCCCCCTTCAGGTGTGTGGAAGTCTTTTGCATTTACTTTCATGCAGGCAGAGTGGAAGAGCCTTATGTCAGCATCACCAAGAAGAGGCAGATGCCCAAAGATGGACATTCAGAAGAGGTTGAGAAGGAAGTGGGCCAGGCAGAGGGCAAGCTCTTCACCCACCGCTCTGCATTTAGCCGGGCATCAGTGATCCAGGCTTTCTTAGGCTCCGCACCACAATTGACTCTTCAGCTGTACATATGTGTCTTGCAGCAGGAGATCACGGCAACTAGAAGTATGTTTATTTTTTACTATTTCGGTTTTTCAGTGGAGAGCAGAGGAAAGAAGCAGCTAAATTTTCTTCTTAGAAGCCTATCAAATGTGGCTGGGGAGTTTTGGGGTGAGGAAGAGAGGAGCATATCCTGGCAGAGCCTGAGAGGTGTCCCTCTTAGCCAAAACCAGTTGTCTAAATGCTTTGCACAGCAAGAGGAATGTGAAGGCAGCCTTCACCGTTGCACCTTTTCTGCCCTGTGTAGGATGCCCATAATCCTCCAGTTTGGAGGGATGCAGACATCCTGGCTGGCTTGCACCCCTTATTTATAATTACTGTATTTTTCTTCTTCCAGGGTAAGGTGCTTGTGGGATTTCTGTAACAGGTGCCAAAATAACTTGGACAGCCTGCAGGACTAGGCACCTTCTCTTCAAGCAGGGACACCATTTGCCATCCTGATGCAGGAACCAAAATATTTGGGGCTGTCCCTGGTTATCAGGCCAGGATGCATTCCAGAAAAATCTCCTCTACAGGAGGATCAGGCACAAGTTTGGCCCTGCTGCTTCTTCATAGGATCAGTCTCCTCTTCCCTGCCTCCAGAGAAGGCTGTAACCCCATGTTGGTTCATTACTGGAAATTAATGGATAGGAGATTAGCCATAGATGCATTGGGAGTAACTGAGAGATGGGGAGCAAGTTATCAAAAAGGACAGACTGTAATCCAAAATTCAGGAGAGTACCCAAACCCAAAATTAGCAAAGGAGTGACAAGGAAAACATTGAAGCAAGCGGCTCTTTTTAGTTCCACACACACCCCCAATGAGAATCTGGGCCTGAGAGAGGAAGGGTGCTGCTGAATTGTATAGGCTTGATGAGACTCTCAGGGTCATCCTAAGGAAACAGGACTGTGAGTGAATTCTGGCAAACACTGGATTATTTTAACCCACACCCCAATGTAGTCATGAATTGAATTACTTTCTTTCCCCTTCAGAGGAAATCCAGCCTCCCTTTAATGCAGGAGTGAGGAACCCAATAGGGGGACAGGTAACCTCTCACCTTGCACTCCACAGGCTGAGTGCTAGTAGGGAGTATGTCCACCCCCATGTCATTTGCTTCCTGGAGGATGTACTGGGTAGATTACCCACCCAATTTGTCAGTCGGGATCTGGCTGTGCATTATGAAGCCATCCAGCTGCAGACACATGGCATCTTTTCAAGTGGGGAAAGAAGTCCTATAGCTAAAGTTGCAGCTCTCCCTGGCACCAGCTGGGCCTTTCCACCCATGTGGCCTGCAACTCTTTCTGATCACAGATGGGAAACCAGTGGGGATTCCTTTTGGAAATGTGCCTCAGAGGCCAAGTTCCACCTCCTGGCAGGATTCATGAAAGTCTGGTGGCCAGAGGGCCACCTCCACTCCCATTCCTGGTGCAACAGGAGGTGTTATCAGGATGGATCTGAATGTTTAAAATATTCTCTTGCAGGAATATTTGATGAGTTGCTACTAACAATGCTTCTCTTGTGTCACTGCACAAATATAACCATCAGCTAAGACTCAGTGGTTTCAATTATGTAGCTGAATTTGTGTACATTTTTTTACAATAGCAATTGTATACATTTGTATACATGGGCAACTTCTTGCCACACAATGTGAAAGTTCATTCAACAGAGTTGCCTGACAGCATATGGGGCTGCAAGATATACGTGCATGGAATCCAATTAGCAGGTTACTTGGGGTTTCTAAATTAACACCAGTGCTTTCAAACTCATGTCCAGTGATTGATTTAATGAAGGGAAAAATCCAAAAGTCTCATCAGTGTACGGTAAGGGCCACTAGTATGTCAGTGAAGATGACCTTCCAAGGGGTTAATCAACCGAACTTAACGAATGCTGCAGGCAAGTGGGTGGTTGCTAAGGACTAAATTGAAATAAATGGGAGAACAGAGCTACTTGATCGATCTTTTTCCCAGGGCAGTATAAATGGGTTGCATGCAATGGTTCAAATACATAGTGTGTGTGTGTAATTGACTTAGTCACTTCCCTCCTCTTTTTCTATTGTAAGGTTAAAGTGGAGAAATGTCCTGTGAGAAGATGCAGCAGCTCCACTCAATTGGAAACTCACATGCCCTGTTGGTATTGGGGTGGGGGGTGATTCTTCCTTCCCACGTTACTTAGGGAAGTTTGCACCTACAATTTCCATCAGCTGTAGCTGCCGTAGACAAGAGTGAAGGATGATCAAGCAGTGTAGCCAATGGAAAGGATGACTGGAGTTGCACACCTGAGTCAGGAAGTACTACAAGTTTCCTAGCCCTGATTTAGGTGCTCAGAAAAAAGAACTCCTCATGTACCATCACTCACTTCTGGGCACTTCCAGTACTGTGAAAAATGGATGTCTGATTCTGTCTCTACAAGACAACCAATTTGCCTGGAACATTTTCCAAAATTATTTGCTGTCCTAATTGTTGTTGATTGGCTGCATTTTGAAGGATGCACCAGCATGAAAAATTGCAGCATTCTTGAGCTTATCCCTTTCAACTGCTTTCTAAGTGATCAATTAGTATGATATTCTGTTTTTATTGTATTTAATGCATTATTTTATTGTTTAAATTGGGGTTTATTTATGATACTAAGCCACCTTGAGTGTTATTTTTCATGAAGTACAAATAAAATAAAGACCTAATCTTAGTATGTCATCTGAACCCAGTAGCTTGGCATGTGGGGGACTTGTGCTTAGGTCCCTGATGATGGTTCAAAGAGCATGATGAAGGCAGCAGTTTGGATCTGGTCAGTATCGGGATGGGTGACTGTGCAGGAAGCCTGGGTATGCAATCTCTACTTTTGTCATGGAACGAAACACATTTTAGGTGAATGACAAATAGGTGGGCCTGAGAGGTAGAGTGGAAAGACTGCCTGCCTTTGGGAAAGTCTCTGTGCAGCCTGTGAGCTGAGATGTACAGTGCTCATCTCATTCATTCTCATCCTAAGAGGAAGAGCAGCTTAATCCTGCAAGGGGGCCTTAGCTGTTTCAGCACAAACAGTAGCCGTCACCACCATGGACCAAAGTGGCTTCCTGTGCTTGTACAGGGGACCACGTCTTTTGCCCTTCCTTGGCTACAGATCGACAAGTGGGAGGGTGGGCAGGCTTGCATTGCAGCGTACCCCTCCAAGAGTACACATTTCCATTCCTCCTCCAATCCAACTCATCCTAACAGTCAGTCACCATTTCATAGCTCCTGAGTGTACCTGCTTTTCAGTGAGCTATTTTTGGGGTGTGTCTCCCCCCCCCCCCCCACAGAGGTTTTTCCCATGAGATTGTTTTTACATGTCTACAACCTTGAGACATTTCCAGGTGGGCTGATAACCTTCCTTTGGTGTGTGAATGGTGCCGTTTTGCCTATATAAGGAGGAGCATTCAGAGAGTTGTAGTCACAGTTGGTCCGCACAAGTTGGGGAATTGCAGTAAAGGTTGCAGTGTGAAGTTCTCCTGCTCAGAGTTGTAGGCACTCCATTCTGTTCTACCTCCCCTCCCGGTTTTTGTGTTCCCTTACCCTCCTACCCCAAGAACCACCATTTAGTGCCCACTGAGCAGGCTGAGGCCCCATTGGTTTAAAGGGTTTTTTGGGAGGGCAGGAAAAAAACTCTGTACAAGCACATATATTCTTTCAGATTCATGTGAAGTGGATAAACTGGTTCCCAGTCCCAGCTACATAAAAAAGTTTTATTTTCCAGTCACCTTTCTATGTCAAATCGTACTTGCAACAGTAGGAACATTGAAAATAACACTGTGTGAACCAGGAAGGGACCAACTCAGGGAATGATATATTTTCTTTATCTTAAAAAAAAAAAATCTGTGTGTCTCTTCTTCACTCCTTTCTTCTCTTCCATTCTCTTTCCCAGCCAGTGTTCAGTTGCTTTCCATTTCAACATTCCTTTCCATTTCTGAATTTCCTGGGTAGTAAGTACATTCAATCCACACAGGATTGAGGATTTTTGGAGGGGATTCTTTTCCTGAAGATTTTTTAAAGATGTGCAAATCCTGGGCTGACCCTGAGCCCGCTGATAGCTCCTCCTGTAGGTCAGTGGTATGTGGCACCTAAGCACAGGCTCTTGAAGACCTGAGATCAGAAGACTGAGTGGGTAACAATGCATAGTTTCCTTTGTTTGTTCCAGAGAGTGCTACTTGGTGCTTGCTCTTCATCCCTATGCTGAAAAAAGCGCTGACATGGCACAGGACCAGGCATGGGCAAATGTTCACCCGCCTTAAGAAAGCCACTTATCACCTGATACCAGTTTGCACTGAGACCATCAGTTGCACATGGAATGCAGTGACCCTCCTGTGGCCAGGAAAGGAGCGTGGCATTACTCACAGTGACTTGAACTGTAGAAGGCATTGACCTCTGCAGTTCCCAGACAACCTAAATGGGCTCAGTGCCTGTTAAAAGGGGACATTTATCTTGGCTCTTAAGAACAAACTCAAGGGTAAGAATTAGTAGTAGAGACAAAACCACATTTCTCATGGTCTCATGGACTCATGGACAAAACCACATTTCTGAGACCATTCTGGAAATTCTCAGGAATCTGGCAACTTTTCATTTTATAGATGAATAGGTAAGAACTAAACCAAGGATAAAAGTGCTTTAGATATTGCTTTTCACTTCTATATGTAAACATTCACTTTCCTCCCCACCGCAGTTTGTCTTTGATCAGATCTTTGTCTTTGATCACATAAACATAGTTCATATTTCTTTCCATTCATATTGCTGTTCATTGTTACAGAAATGCTTCATACGCATGCACAATTGTATGTATAAAAATGAATTACAATTGCTAAGGTGGAGGGCTTATGCTTTTTCTTAGTTCAGTAGCATAAATTAGGCTGGTTTGAGAGTTGTGGGTCCTCTGATTTTTCTGATCTCCTGATATATTCTTTCAGGTTCATGTGTGTAGCTAATTGCCAGGATTTAGTGAACTGGGGCAGACGCTTTAGCTGATAGTATGAAGTTGTTATTGACACTGCATTCAGAGAAGATTGTTTAGCGCAATGTGTTAAATTCCAAAGTCAGAGGATAAGCTCAGAGGAATGCAATGGAGAACAGGAAGAAGCATGGAGATATTTTTCTGCCAAGATATTTAGTCTTGAAAAATGTCTCCGGCAGGAGTCAGTGATAGACTTTTTCCAGCTTAAGCAGCATTCAGGTGATGATTTTGAGAGATTCTCAAGACCAATGCAGGTGTTTGCTTGCTCACAGGTAGGTGAAAGTTCAGTGTTCCTGGGTGCCCAGTTAGATGCTTGCAACCTGAACAAAAGGTCTGAAGAAGGCTTTGTAAGCACATGCTTACAGACTTACAGAGAGTCAACACTTGGCATTCTTGTAATGATTTCAGCTAGGCTGCTGAGTTGTGAATACTTTAGCATCCCTCCCATCAGGGTTTCTCCTGGTGCTGATGGGCTTGCTGCAAGTCCTGAAGTGGTGGGATGTCGTAGGCTCAGCTGATCTTGCCACCCTCCCATTCTGAGCATGATGATTTGGAGAGGCCTGCAATGGAGAGTAAAAGACTTGCTTGCATTTGAGTTCCTAAACCTATTTCTCAGCAAGTCTAGATAAAAAGGTTTAGACAAGTGGGCTTGGAAGAAACATTCTGGGGTGGCACTTTAGATAACACAAGCTGCCTGAGTTTTGTGCCCATGAGCTATTTTCATGCAAGGCACACTGTCCGTTTGATGCTCTCTGGACATTGCTGCTTGCAGAGTGCTCTGACTATGTTGTCTTTTCTCAGGTATCTTCATGGTCCTTTCTCTCCTGTCAATTGTCTATGGAGCACTGCGCTGCAACATCCTGGCCATTAAGATCAAGTATGATGATTACGATGTCAGTGTGAAACCTGCTGCCTACCTCTGCATCTTTCTCTGGAGAAGCTTTGAGATTGCAACCAGAGTGATTGTCCTTGTCCTCTTCAGTTCAGTCCTTCAGATCTGGACCCTTCCTGTAGTGCTTGTGAATTTCTTTGCTTTTTTCTTTCACCCATGGATTCTCTTCTGGCAAAGCAAATGTACTTTGCCAGAAAATATAGAGAAGGCATTGAGCAAAGTGGGCACCACCATTGTCTTATGCCTTCTCACTTTCCTGTATGCTGGTATCAATATGTTTTGCTGGTCAGCTGTGCAGCTCAAGCTTAACGATTCTGATTTAATTGACAAATCCCAAAACTGGTGCAGACTGGCTTTGTATTACATCCTGAGGTTCCTGGAGAATGCTTTTCTCTTGCTGATGTGGTATCTATACAAGACAGATGTCTACACATATGTATGCGCCCCAATGCTCTTCTTGCAGCTGCTGATTGGCTATTGCATAGCTGTCCTGTTTATGCTTGTGTTCTACCAGTTTTGCCACCCATGCAAAAAGCTTTTTTCATCCAATATTTCCGAAGGATTGGTGCTGTGTTTCAAATTATTTTGCTACATTTGCAAACCTCTTACATCTAGCACCTCTGTGGAAAAGGCAGACTTGAAATCCCCAGAGGATACTGAAAATGATACACAAGCCACTTATGAATCCCAGAATGGAAATGCCCATCACAGTGTTTCTTCCAATGCCTAGAGCAAGACACCACACGGGAAGGAGGTGCTACACAAAGCCACAGATCACTCCCTTCAAGAACTCTGGCTCATTTTGCTAATGAAGGGGGAATGCTTTGCTAGGCATGCACCTAGCAATGTTTCTGAACAGATGGTTGTATGTTTAAGCAACCCAGCAATTTGCAAGAGCGCAGGCCCTCCAGTTATCCCTCTGCTTATCATGATAGGAGGCACGTTGCCCTAACAAGCTGTTGCAAAGTTCAGCAAATTTAACGATAATTTGGAATGGCGGTTTAATGCAGATGACTTCCCTCCCAGACAGTGCATTTCACTGTGCACGAAAGGAAGGGCCACAAACTTTGTCCCAGAGAACTTCCCCCAAGTCATGAAACAAAAGACAATGTGATGACAAAATGGCAACCTATGGAGCTCCTTACTTCATACAAGGAACTAACCTGATGAGCAGCAAAGGGACTACATAGATCAGCAGAACAGGGAAGGAACAGGGAAGCACATCATGGGTTAGACTGTGCATCAATGTGCTATGTGCCCTGGACTTTCCCCACCCCTCATCCCCCCCAGCACCAAGGTTTTCTGTATTATGTATGATACAATCCCATCCTCGTTGTCTGGTTTGGAACTGGGGAAGTGGAGCAGTTTCTAAAGCCAGACTGCAATGGGCAACAAGAATGTAGTTGCTCAATTCAGGTGTTTACCACAACCCTACCCAACAGTCTTTTAAAGCCGTTACCCTTTTTCCCAAAAGGCAGCCCAAAGACTTTGGTTTTAGATTTGCTTTTTTTGTTGTACTTGATTGCCGTGATTGTGTTTCAGCTTTGTACAGTGTTAAGAAAGCTCTAGTGGATGGGTACAGGGGACATGCCATTTATTAGCAGTAGTTAAATAAGTGTAAAGTCATTGAAATTGAGTGTTAGCCATGTCTTAGGATCTATGCCTACTATTTTACATCAGTACATCCATCAAATCAAACAAAAATGAAAAAGAGAAGAGCATGAAAATCACAAGTTAGATTCCTAAAGCAGGGGTCATGGTGCCACGGTGGGTTGGAAGCCATGTTTTGGTAATATGATTCAAAGTCCAGTTATCTATGAAAGGCCATTAGATGGGCTTTGAACAAGTCGTCATCTTTAGCCGCTTACTACCTTTTGTATTTCCTTCTTCCTCCAAGTTGCTCAGTGGTGATTTACAGAGCAATCTTGTACATGTTTACTCAGAAGTAAGTGCTACTCTGGTCAGTGGGGTTTACTCCTAGGAGCCTTGGCCTCCTGTCACTCTACACAGTATATCAGAGAAACTGCTCATCTAGCAAGTTTTACAGATGGCTGGGGATATGAACTAGTTTCCCACACCCATTCCCAACACTTTAACCTACCTCTTAGGATTACTAGGAAGATAGATAAAGAATTGTAATGCATCTTAATATACTGAAACAATTCTAGAGAAAACAATTAACCATAATAAAGATCTGCTTTCTCTACCACAGTGCTGACCAATGTTTGCACCAGGCAGCTAAAAATTCATGCCATGCTTAGCTGGTGCAGGATGGAACCATCCCGCTGTGCCTCCACCTCTCATTGAAACATGCATAAACTGTTTCAGACTGGTGGGACCCACCTCAACCAAGTCTGCCTGCCCAGTTACAACCATGCGGAAGTCAAGACCAGCAAGCAAGCACCCTTGTACTTCAGCATGACCATTCTGTATGCCCTTTGATCTTTTTATATCAAGTACAATACTGTTATCTCATCTGTGCAATGTAGCCAACTTTTTTCCTAAAAATATTGTTCCAACGGAAATGATATTATTGTTTTATATCTGGTAGACTGACTCATTCCCAGAATAAAGTCACTTGTCTCTGGAGAGAAGATGTTGCATGTACATTTGTAATCCACCACGGCTAGAGTTTGCCCCATCTTTAGGCAGAGCGAAGTGGCTGCCTCGGATGGCAGATCCTAGGCGGTGGCAACTGGAAGCATGGCATCAGAGGCTGTGTGTCACACAATCTTTCCTTGAGTTGGTACAATGGTACATTTTGTCAGAAATTTCACCTCTATGTGGTCGACAAAACTGTAAATGGTCACCAAAACCGTGGTGGTGAGTGAAAGAAGCCGTGGGCTACAAGAGGAGGCCCAGAAGATGTAGGGGCCGCATCCCCTTGTCTTCCTTTAATAATAGCAACATAATATAATCCTAAGGGTAAGTCCTGTCATACTACTGGACTTAAGAAACCACTTTAGAAGCCTTTATAATTAAATGGGACAAAAATTAAATAATGAAAATAATTTAATATTGTATCTACAGTTGTACCCAGAATTGTCTGCTGTATTCACAGGTAGAGATGCAGAGAGGAAGGATTTCATTGGGTATATTCCATGAGAAGCTGCATACCCCAACATTTTGCAGAGAACCCAAAAAAAGACAATTCAGCCTGACCCTCTTAGCCATATATATTTGCCAGTGAAACTTGCATGTAAAAGGTTTAACCCCTACCAGAACCAGTGTGGTGTGGTGATTAGTGTGTTGGATTGGGAACACAGTAGATCAGGGTTCTAGTCCCCACTAGGACATGAAGTTCCCTGGGTAACTTCAGACTAGTTAAGCCTAGCCCAACACACAGGATTGTTGTGAGAATAAAATGGAATAGTACTATGGAAGCTGTTTTGGATTTCTTGCAAAAGGAAAAAAAAGGTGGAATATAAGTGCAAAGCAGCTACAACTCACACCTACATTCAGTTCAATTTTGCTCTATTTTGGTCATAAAGTTATAGAGGTTATGAAATGCCTGAACTGAGGCTACATCTCAAAGACAATTATCAGTGCTTCCCTAGGCACTACTTAAATGAAATTCACACCTCTGCTGTTATTTAAATTAATATCTGGGTGGTTGTTCAGATGAATGCAAAAGTGGAGGGGAGAGATTTGTAATGCAAATGAGCTTTCCCCTTTTAAACTACAATTTCAGTGTAAGCAAGATCATGTATGAACATTAAGTCTCACAAACATGAGATATCAGCAACCAAACTGATGAACTTAGTCCAGTCAGATGTACTGAGCCAGTGGAATACTTTTTCTTCCTCTTGTGTTACTTTATTCTTAGTGTGCTGTCTGAATTGACATTTCAATCCGGTGCTGAGAGACATCTCAGACTTTAAAAAGTCCTGCTGGATAAGGCAAGGCATCTTTTTTCCCACAGGAACCAGCTTGTGTGTGTGCCCTCTTTCCTATGTTATGCTATGTTAGTCATGAAGCCATGCCTGACCCATCATGACACCATGGACAACACTCTTCCAGGCCTCCGGAGTCCACTTAAGCTCACATGGACTGCTTCAGTGACTCCATCCATGAGTCACCTCATTCTCTGCCGTTCCCTTCTTCTTTTGCTGTCAATTGTTCCCAGCATTAGTGTCTTCTCCAGCCCTCTTCCCTACACACTCAGTAATTGCTTTTTGATTAACTGTAATTTGTCCTCTCATCTGAACCAACAGACTAGTTGGCACTTGTCATACAAACCAGAATCAAGCCCTTATCTAGGCTTCTTAGGGTTCAGGCAACACATCAGTAACAGAAATCTGAAGTTATAAAGTACAAAAGTTAAAGACCCGGGGCTTTATTTAGTCACTGCCATTGCCATGGAGAGTGATGTAAATTTTAAGACTGTCTTCTCAGCACACCAGCAGTTAAATTCATGCATGCTAAAATAAACAACTTGAGCCAAGTAGTTAACTTGTAGAGAGGGGGCCAATCTCTCACATATTGCAGTCCACTCAGATAGTATCATCTGATTATGAGGAGTGGGTGGAGGACTTGGCCATTTCAAGGTTACCTTGCAAGTTTCTTGGGCAAAGCATGAGAGCCAGCCTGCCTCAGAAAGGGCGGCAGAGCAGTTTTTCAGAGTTGGAGGGGGAGCAGATGCTAGAAGAGATCCTTGCCCAGGTCACGCAAAGACAGGTGAAGTGAGCAGACCAGTTACAGGGTTTTTAGCATTCCCACCATCTAGTACAAAAGCCACAAGAGCCAGCCTGATGGTGCAGGCAAAAGCTTTACTGAGGGGAGGAAGTTTCAGTTTGGATTCAAGTATTCACAGGGGCAGATGCTTCTCCTGCATTCCAAGCAGAATGCCCCTTTGATTTATCCTGTTCTGTAGCAAGTTAAGTGTCAATAAAAGAACTGCGCTTCTAAGGTTTCATTTTGAATCTGATGAAAGAGAAGGAAAGAGGGAATTGACCTGCTCACAACATAACTGCCCAAAAGAAACACACTCTTTGGCAGCTTCCGAATCCCAGTGTAGCTTAACTAGGTGAACAATAATAGCTTTGCTGGAATTTAAATGTAATAATTTCACAACCTAAGAAAAACTTTAGCTTCTTTACAACAGCAGCTTCTGTTGAAATAGCCTCTCCTTAGCAGATTATATCTCCAAGTAAATATTCCCTTGAGCTGAATAAACACACATAACCACATCTAACTAAAGTTTAACAGGAAAAAAGTTCTTATTATTTAGTTACTACTACCTCAAACTCGTTGCCAACTCCCTTTGCCTTAGGAGGCTCTCTAATATTAATGCATAACAAATTAAACCCAAAGCATGCTGAGGTAGTACTGTGGCTACCACAGCCCTGTTTGCTGCATTCCCTTGGTTGGGCTGGGAACACCACTAGTCTCCATAAATCTGCATACAGTGCGTGGGATCAGAGTCAAGGCATTGTGGGGAGGCCTAAGGGAATCACTGCAATTCTGTCACAAGATCCGCTGAATATACTCATTGCAAAAGAGCAGGGCTTACAGCTGGGAAATAAGGATCAGCACACTGGACGCTGGAACAACAGGAACAGGCTTGCTACAGACCCTACACTATCTGAGGTCATTTAAAGAACACTACAAGACAGGCAGATAAGCATGGGACAAACAAGCTATAGGATTGTTCCAAAAGTGAGTAAAGAAAGTGCATGTAAAGGGGGAGCATGCTAGGCCTCCATCAGCATTTCACCACCTGCACATCACATGGAGGGTGATATTCTGAGAAGGAAAGCCTTTTCTGTGGACCAGCGATGCACTGAAACAGAGCTTGACAATTTTTCCCAGCTTTTGATCTGATGAGTTAGACTTTTTTCTCCATAGGCTAAGACAGCCATTATTTTGCTAAAGACATTTGCACAAATAAAGTCAATGGCAAAGTAATAGTTAACATGCACAAAGGCAGTGCGCAAGGTGTTCGTGTGAGTTGCTCACTCTTTCTGCCCAGTCAAAGCTATTTCCAGCGCACTGGACCCTGCAGCTTAACCCCCAACCATTACACCCAGCTGATACGAACAAAGGCTATTCTTGCAGACCCCACATACTTTCTGCCCATTCCATGCTAGTTCCAGGTTACAAGACTTGTCCAGGGGCTCAGGTTTTCCCAACCCTAATCTGAAACAACCTGAAACCTAACACTAGTGCTGGCACCAACTCACTTTGTTGCAAGGTGAACTAACTCCTGGATTTCCTTTTCTGAATGGAGCACAGTTCACACGTTTTTAAACCAGCAATGAAATGTGCACAAATCAGTACCCCAAGTATTCTAAACTAGAATGATTTGTGCAAAATCAGGAGATTTGCACAAATCACAATGTTCATAAATCCATTTTATGGAAATTCTCCAATTCTGCCAAACCTCACTAGAGCCAGTTAGTTTTTTGGCTTGTATTTGTCCATGCTGTTAAAAATGCAAGCAAATGGTGGTCCATCTTAAAGAGGGAACCCTGCAAGGAGATGCCTGATAGCCTGCTTCTGCCCATCAGAATGGAAACAAGCAGGAAATCCATCCCCCTCGAATGAGGCGGATTTCCCTGTCTTGGTACATGCCTGCTCCCAATTGTCAGTGCAGCTGTGCAAAACCCCCTTCCTTTCCTTCTTTATGGACAGCTGGTAGGCTCTGTCAGATCACTTTACTGCATTACTACAAGGCATTGTGGGCCAGCACTCCCAGATTTGCACTCTGTGCCTGGAAACAAAAAATGTGCCTTTTGTCAAGATATTCAAAGTAGTCCTCTCCATGCTTTCCCTCACACCTTCCAGTCTGAAAATCGTACTGTTTCCTTAGTCAGTTCATTTTTTATTTCAAACTTGACTCCCTGGGTCTGTTCCAGATATTATCTTTTCCTTCCAGTATCTTTTAAGATGCCAGAAGTTTAAGAAACAAATGTATTTGCACATGTGGTGTTCCAGAAACAGTTCTAATACAACAGCCTTGCAAACCTCCCAGGTATTTCAAATAGCTGTATGTCAGATTGACCTCTGGTATTCCAAATACTCCGGTGCATTGTTGGAAGTTGCACTTTAAAGTAATTTCCAATGCCAGTATTTGAAAATGTGTACAAACCCCCTGCTGTCCACAAAGGGGCACTCCTTCCTCATGTTGAAACACATGGCAATCTCTGCTATTTCTTTTCTTCCTCCTCTAGTCAGTTGCTCTCCTACAAATAAATTCATAAAAACCTTAGTTTTAGCTTGCTTTTTCTCCTAGCCAGGTTACAGATTAGGGTAACCTGAACTGTGTTTCCTTCTTGTAGTTTAAGTGGAAAGGAAGTAAATGAAAAAGGGGGCTGAATTAATTACAGGCACCCTACTTTTTAGGGAGATTATTAAGAGATAAAAACCTTGAATGATACACATCCAACCTGTGTGTTGTTAAATTTCAGCAAGTTTCTAGACATGTAGTTATTAATATTCTTTTGAAAGCATTAGGTATCTTTTTCATATATGCTGAAATGTTCTGTGTAGGCAGGGCATATTACCATTATTCCCTTAAACAGATAAGATAATGGATCTGAGACACTGCAGGCTTACTTAAGACCATTCAATTAAGTTCATGGCTGAAAGTTAATTCTGGCACCCCACTGTCAAACCAAACTGACTTGCGCACATGTTTTAAAAATAACAATCTTCTTTCCTAATGGCTTCTAATGATGCCACTTATCTGCTGATGTTCTATTTAATATTCTATTCAGACTGCTGTGCAAATGTCCACTTACTTGGTGACTGAGCCCCATTTAATTCAATGGTTGATATTGAATAGTAGAAGGGTGATTTTCTACATGAGGCCCTTAATCAGCTGTTACCTAGTTTCTGCTTGGTTGCAAAATTGAGAAATATTTCCTTTCCTGGTTTTCCATTGCATAACCTCTAGGTGGCACTGTGATAGACAACGGTGCAAATACACAAGAGGAAAATGTGGTTTCTTTCACAGTTGGAATTAATTGCTTCCTTTTAAAACAAGAACTCACTGAAAGTGTTGGTTAAACACAGAAACAAAAACAACCATGAGTAGTGAATGACTAACACATGAAAAAAGCTCATAGACTGGGTCATAATTTTTCTGGAAGTATCACTACACGAGAATCAAGCTCTTTTTGAAACATCATGCTTCCTGAAGAAGTATAGTTTGAGCAATTTAGCACTCACAGCCTTCTATTTGTGACTGAAATAACTTGGTCAGTAGTCACTAGTCATATCATACGTCATTAGATCCACCCTCAAAACAATCCAGTGGAGAAACCGAGAGTCAGGTACTTGCCCAATAAGGGGTTTATGAATGTCGGGCATGATGTGGTCAAGCCAGGACTAGGAGGAAGGAGCAACTGCTCAGGCCAAGTTGCACGTGGACATAAGTGAGCAGTGGTGCTCCTTGCTCGCTCTCCTGCACACCTGACCTGAGCCTCACAACGCTTAGCACAGCCCGCTGAAGTGGATTTCTTTGACACTCCATCTCAGTCAATTTAATCTGAAGGCATCTGTCTTCGTGAAGTGGTAAACTATTAGAACATATTTCATTGGAGAAACTTTGAAGATGGTTAACTCTCCAAAATTGCTTAAAAAATAGTCATAATTTTTATTTTTGTGCAACATGGCTTATCAATTTTAAATCCAATACTAATAGATGATGAGAGTAATAATAACAATAGCAATATAATAATGCAAGGCATGAGAGTTATCATGCTATTTAAAATAACCTTCTTATATTTCCCAATTTTAGACTCTAAGACGAAGTGATATTTTTAGATGGTAACTTAGTTTCTGCTGTGTGGGTTGTATTTCCCACCTCATTGATGTTTCAGTCTGTTCCCCCAAGAGATATGCTAGTCAGAGAGAAAAACACAATAGATGATGTTAGGATGATTCACAATTGCACAGCAGAGTGTATAGCTAGCAATAAGTAGAGCTATGTCTGTGTGTGAAAAAGGGCTGAGGGCAATGAGTTCCTAAAGGTGGACAGTCTGTGGTGCAGTCGAGAATCACCACATGCTCCTAGTTCATGTTGTGAACTGTGAACTGTGGTCTCTTTGGCATCCCTTGCATGAATGCTGTAAATGAAAGTGTTATTTATTTTGTAAACGTTTACAGCTGCTCCATAACACACGTTCTCTGACTCATTTCTACAACCCATTTCTACAATTCCTTCCTTTAACTGTTGATTGGGAGCTTTTGTTCGTATGAAGGGCCCTGGAAAAAAGAGTAATAGTAAAAACATGCTGAATGCACAAGTGGGTAACTGGTTGCATGCGAAATGAAAGGGGGAAACCTGTTGTTGCAAACCTGCTGCTTTCACTTCCTTCTACTGGGGTGAAAAAAGGCCTACTTCATAACGATCAGTGTCAGTTCATTTCTATTCAAGCAGACATCAACATGGGAAACTGGGTGGAAAATGAGGGACTCTCCATATTTGTCATTGTAAGTACAATAACCATTCATTTTAAAGTTGAATGTTCAGTGGTTGTCATTGGTTTAGATTGATGGAAAACTCTTAAACTGCAGAAGTGTTTTAATACATGCTTTGATAAATGTATGAAGTCTCAGCATGAAAGTCTTTAATATTTTAAAAATGTTTCATTAATTACCAAGCTTGACTGTGCAATAAGCAATTAGTGGAGAAACAGATGTGAGAGAAAGCAGGCTCACCAAAAGTGAGAGGGTTAGCTCTGCCTTTTAAAAAGTGTATAATAAATTTTTGGCCAGTGTGAATTAGTATTTGTATACATAGAGACATCCACTTCGTATTTTTAGATTTATTCTGTTCAGTCCCATCAAAATTAAACAACTGGGGAAAAATCCACTGGAATAGAGAGGGAACTATAGGCTGGGCACAGAAACCCGGGTTTATATGAATGTCTTACTCAAGTTCTTATCACTCATGAAATACTGCATTCACAACAGACAACCCAAAGATGTTATTCAAGCAGCCATCAAGGGCTTGGATTCACAGAAAGTAAAATAATAAATGGGCTTTCAGAATCTCCATTACATACTGCTCAGAGAATGTGTATTATTCTTCTCTATCGTATACTCTATTTAGAGAATATGCATTTAGATTATAATATAATACTCCATTTATCTGGTTAATAAACAAGCTGAACACTTGAAACGGATAATTATATTATTGGACAGTCCAAACAACTAGAGTTTAAAAAGAATGGATAAAATATAGTTTTCACAAAAAGTTGCACTCCTTTCCATTGTAAAATTGCTGTGATAGCTGGTGAGGGGAAGGCAGATGGATTTATCAGAACATGAGATTCTCTGCTTCCATATTTTTTAGATGGGAGTGTGTCTCTAGCCCTTGTCAGACTTGAGACAGGCAAAAGGCGCAGCTTATTTTCTGTTCTTCCATTCTGCAACAAACTGGCCCCCGCCTGCCTTCCTCTCACTGTCTTGGTTCATCTGCAAGGCTTTCAAGTGGGATGGCCATTGTCCCAGCTGGGAAGCGATCGATGCCTCATAAAAAGCAAACTAGAAATCCCTACCCCTATACTAAAATTTGAGTTTGGGTGCCAGTCCCCATGGGTCATAATGTGCATTGTTGAATCTCAATCAAATTGTCACTTTAAGATGGTTTCAGGAGGCTGTGAACACAAGTAGTCCGTTGATCATCGGCCCCATATTTCTTTCATATTTTTCTTCATGAGGACCATAGCCCTTCTGATTGTTTATCTCAGTATCTACCATATCCTCTAGGCACCAACTCAGCATGGTTGCCTCACATTCATCAGCTCCGTTCAGTCATTTGTATTTCACAGAGATATAGAGAAATCCATAGAGCCAAGAAGAAGACACAGTCTTTCAATATCAATAGCACAGTACAAAGAACTAGTATAATCCATATGCCTCCCTTATTCTGATTTTGTTGCAAACTACCATAAACCCTTCATTTCTCAGCAAAGGTTTTACCACAGCATCATAAAACAGAGCCAGGCAGACAATAAATCATGAAATACCTGCAGTGGTCTGGGTGAATTGCTATAGATCACAAGAATTACTGCCACAACTGGCCTTGTGCTAGTTGCTTATCTTTTAGGCTCCATTTCCTCAACCTAAAACATACACATTTTAACTGGATGTGTTTGACTTTGCACAATTTTATAGCCATGTTGAGAGTTTTGTTACAGTCCCTGAAGAGTATTAACTCTGATTAGCTGACCTTGGGGTTGTAGTAGAAAACAAAGTAAATCCCGAAGTATAGCCCTCAATTTCATGTCCTGTATTTCTTCCTTCAGATAGTATGGCTAGGCTTAAATGTCTTCCTCTTCTGCTGGTACTACTTAGTTTACGACCTTGGGAGACAATTCTACTATACAAGAAAACTTCTTGGGGTAAGTATCGAATGTGTCCTCCTCGTGTGCTGCAAAGCAGGGCTGCCAAGTCTCAGGCCCAGCAACTAGCTCTGGCTTTTCAGCCTCCCTAGAAGGTGCATTTCCTTCCCTTTGCCCCAGCCCTTCCTCGCCACCCTGGTTCATGGTGCAGCTTTACTCTATGCTAAAATGGTTTCAACACCTCTCCTGTTGCTGAGGTCTTGACAGTAAGATGTTTAAGCTAGAGTATGGTGGTAGTGTTGGGATTTTGGCCTGCCCTTTTTGCCTTCCACCCGCATCCCCACCCCACTGGAATGTGGTCCTCAGCAGCTTGCCTGATATGGAATTCAGACCTGGGCTGAAAGAGTTAAACCTCCTCCATAACTCAGTAACTAAATCTTTCATTCTCGTCATAGTCTTTTGCGAGTGAGTTCTATTTTCTTTTCATTTGAATTTCTTTCTGTTATCCTTGGATTTATAGCCCTAGATCTGGTATTTAGCTCTCTCTTGTACATAAGGAGAACCAATTTTATTCTTTAAGACTCTCCATTAGCAGTTGTTGTCTGAAATAGCTTTAATAGTGTTACATGCTGACCAAAGAAGGGCAAAATCTGCAAAACTGAGTCCATATGGATATTTATGTGCCTGTCACCCAAGTTCAGCAAATTTCACTTGCCCTAACAGAAGGACCCCTACCTAACAAACATGTTTTCCTTAAAATGTTGTAACTGGGTTTCATTGTGACTATTACAAAATAAAACTGCTCAGTATGTTCTTTTCTGCTCACTTTTAAGCAATCTTAGAAGTCCCTGTTTGATTACTTCCCTTCACTGATTCCATTTCCCTTTTTCTTCTCCCATTGTTACAAGAATCAGCTGTCTAGTCATCCACTTAGAAGGATCTTTATTATTATAAAATGATTGTGGCAATATGACAAGGCCTACTAAACAAAATCACAGGAATGGCCTCCATATTCTGCTGGGCCTAGAGCAGGGATAGGCAACTTGTGGGCTTCCAGATGTTGTTGGACTACGGCCCCAGCAATGCCAGTGGTGAGATGTGATAGGAGTTGCAGCCTGGAAACATCTGGAGGGACACAGGTTGCCCACTACTGTTCCAGAGCTGAGATAGCTTAAGAAGCCAAAGGAGCAGGATGATCTGGCAAGCCTTCCAGGTTAAGGCCCAAGGCAAATTCTGAATTCGGACATTGCTTTCTCCATTTCCCAAGCTTCAGCTTAATGCATCTTGATTTGCATAGGAAGATGAAACAAAGTTGCAGCAGGGATGGTAGGAGCAGGGATGAGGAAGGAAGAGGTGGAAGAAATGACTAGGCATGTGGGATAGGGACAAGTGGCGCCAACATGGGTATGAGATACAGCTGGGTACAGAAGGAATAATGACTTGTGTCCCCTCTTCTCAAACAGTTGCTCAGCAAATAAGCAAAGAGTGAGGGGTAAAAGCTACTTCTTGTCTGTATGCCTGTGCAATTAAAACACCTTTGAGTTCCCCAGTGTGACAGAAGAAGGGATAACTATACAGAGAATGGAAGAAAATCCATAAGGTGAACTTGCCTATTCCAGAACATGAGACAAAACTTTTGTTTTTAACTGAACTGTACATATGTGTAGGGATAATTTCAGAGTATCTCAAGATGATAGAGGGAGAGGGAGAGAAAGATGTTTGGCAGAAGCAGCATACGGCCATATAATAATAAACAAAATATAAATAAATAAAAAATAATATAAATAAATAAATAATAATAATAAACAAGGTGGGTTTGAGGGGAAAGAATGGAGAAATCAATGAGAAAGTGAAGTAGCAATGAGATGAATATCAAAAGGAACCAGATTCTTAGAGGGTAAACTCTGTCTCTTCTCCCTCCCTCCCTCCCTCCCTCTCTGGCACACACACCATGCTACATTGGCAACTCTTTGTGGCCTTCCTCTTTCCACAGATATTAATGATAACCATCTTCTGTACTAGATGGTAGAACTGACCAGTGAGCTCACTTAAAATTGATACACCGAACCAGTTGAGGTGATAATAATGCAGACATTTTCCTGCCTCCATTAGAGTTGGTATATTCTCATGACAAAGCTCTGTCCATTGTAGTGAGAGTCAATTAGCCAGATAAGTATGAGCAATAGGATGGGATATAAATGCATGTAATAAATAATAATAAATAAATAAACTCCATTATACTATGTTAAACCTTCTTGTGTGAACTGGCCCAAGCCATTTTTGCATCGAGTATTCTGTATATCTATTCAGCACAATTCCCATTTTTCATATATGCATGCAAACACCCCACCCACACACACACACTGTGGCATTTGTATGCTGGTACACCCTGTATGTGAGAAATGGATCCATCCGTCTTCAGCTTCAGTTCCAAGGCATCTTTCAGGTAATGCTGTCTGGTTAACTACAGCCCCATTGTCTTCTGTTTAGCCTTACCTGGCACTGGCCCGGGCACCTGCAGCATGTCTGAATTTCAACTGTATGTTGGTTCTGCTTCCGGTCTGCCGAAATCTGCTCTCGTTTCTCAGAGGTTCAAGTGCGGTAAGAAGCAAAATTATTTCCCACTGTTAGTGCAAAATAACAGCCAGATTATTATGACTTTAATTTCAATAATTTACTAGGCAGCCTGTTACACTGTGCTTTGTACATTGTGCAAATATCTTTAGCTTGGCACACTCCAAATGTGGGACTTGTGTAGGAAGGTAAGCAGCAGAGGATTCCCAGGTCAAAGACTTGAAGACAGACAGTCAGGGGAGAGTGCCTCCTCCCAAATTCCCTGATTCCCTTCTTTCCCTGCAGTCTCCCATGAAATCTGACTCCAGAGAGTTGGAGGAACCCCTATAATACTGGGGAAAGTGGTACTGGAGCCTGCAAAGAGAAGAATCAGCAAAAGTGCCTCCTCCTATCTATCAGTGGGAGCATTCTGAGTGGATTGTTACTCACGCCATGCTTTCACAGGTGGAAAAGAACCCAGAGCCAGGCAATCTGTCTCACTCCAGTGGTCTCTTGTTGCTGCATCCTTAATTTGGCAAATAGATTTCTCTTCATTGTCAAATCTTATTCCATAAAGCCAGCATAAACTAGGCAGGTTTCTATTGTCCTGCATTCCATCAGCTGATATGCTTCTCTGAATCAGAAGTCTTCTTCAGATGGAAGGACAACCATGGATTCAACCCCATGTGTCTTATCAGATATTCTTGCCAGCAAGGAGAAAGTGATGTGCTATGTATATACTGTAAGTATATATAAACTTACACATTTCAAGCATCACCTTGCACTGAAAGGGATGCAGTTTAGCTTCTAGAGTTGCATAGAAGATTTCCTTTAGTTTAGGAAAGCAAGAACACAAAACAGCTGGTTTAAAGGATTCTATGCACAAACTGACATATCAAATCTATCAAAGCTAGAACATGCTATTTCCTTTCTGGACAAGAACTGTCTTAAATTGTTGGGGGAAATCTTTCATACTTCTTTTACTATACTTTTACAGTATGAAGCTAATTTAACTTCTACTTTTTCTGACATGTATTTAATTAGAATAGGACCAGGAATACTGACTGAGTCAACACCAGAGAACACTTTCAAGCACACACAAATCCTCTTGTGGTTCTTCCTCAGTCCGTACCATGTAGGAATCAACAAATTACCTGTCATTCAAATCCCTGGTTATTTATTTATGGATTTACAAACTTGGTAGGGACAAAATCCAATTTCACAATAATGTAATGAGATGTCTCCTTCTCTGCTATTCACCATTGTACACTGCATCATTTTGCGTGAAAACATATCTTACTGCAGTGTGATGGTATGTTTGGGCCTGGGTGAGTCTTTCATATAATGTGAAATTAAAAGCCACAATGAACACCATCATTAATTTGTGCCAGTTTCAGTAAGCCTAGCATATAAAATATATTATTTTTAATTGATATATGTATGCGGATGGGTGTGTGTGTGTGTTTGTATACAGAGAAAGAACATTGACCATATTAAAAATAATCCTCTATCATAGATCTCTGTTCTGTTCTTGAATATATATTGCACTTTCGATATAACAAATTTGTTTGCACTTCCTCTTTTGATTCAATAGTGCTGCTCAGTGCGCATCAGACGGCAGTTGGATAGAAACCTCACATTTCACAAATTGGTGGCCTGGATGATTGCACTCCATACTGGTAGGTCCCTTGAAACTTTATATTTAGGATTAAGTTTCTTTGGTTTCAGTGCAGATAATGCTCATGCGATTTATATTTTTTATATGAGTTCGCAGGAATGGCTCAGAAGTGAAGGGAGACAGGCAATCCACATGTAGACCAATTTCAAAATTGTAGGGGTTGGGATGAAGAAAAATGTGTCTTTCATAATAATGACACTTGATTCTTAAGGGTCTTGTGTAACCAGAGCCTCCAAGACATTGAATAAAGATACAGTATAACCCTGCAGATTTATAATTCTAAAACAACCAAGTGAAGAAGGAGAGCATCTGATTAGAAGCCCACACCAGGATACATTCTAATGGTTAAATGCTTTAGCTCTTAACCTGGCATATATCAGGAGCTTTTCTTTTTCTCCTGTCATATGTCCTCACTAAGTGCATTTGTGAAATCTGTTTCTGAAGGTTTTTTCTTTATAATTTATTCCAAACACTCATCCATAAAACATGCATGTGAAAGTCCACCTGAACCAAACAAAACTTACTTCCAAGTGTAGATGTGGAGGACTGAGATGTAGGTAAATCCATTGCTCAAAGTTATGGCTAACATTAGCTGAAAGCAAAAGAATGAAGGATCCAGTATATGGAGTAGCACCTAAAAGACACGCATGTCAACAGATATTCAATTTTACATTTAATGGGGTGGCCTCAGCATCCAAAGTAATGAAAATATAATTTTTTCCCGATGACCAAACAACAAGGGTTGAAAGTATAAAATAAATCTCTGTCAAGAAGGTAGGAATGCATAAAGATGAGCCTGGGGGCAGATGTTTTGACATCAGAAGTGTAGGTCAAGATAACCATGTGCAAATGTAACTGTGAATGTTCAGTTACTAATCATTGCAAAGAGCTAAATGCATAAATTCACTGTGTATGATGACTAGTAGCTGGTCCTGAGTGAAGATGGGCTCATTGTCTATTGTTACTGTACAGCTACAATAAAGAGTCTTAAAAAATGTAAAATTCCTTGCTGATCTCTCTCATGGTCAGACAAGAAACAAGAGGGGTTTTGTTGTTGTTGTTCTCAGCAGTAATGGACAAAATGGGGGGGGGGAATCCTGCATTTTAAGTGTGATTCATCTCATATGTTACATTAACATTTTTGTGACTCTGTTGATTGATTTATTTTAGCCATCCACACAATTGCACATCTATTCAATGTAGAAAGGTTGGTGGATGCACGTAATGAGGAAGCCATTCATGGAAATAGAACTATTCAGGCAGTGCTGTCTGATTTGGGTGATCGAAAAGATGAAACCTATCTGAATTTTGCTCGACAAAAACTTAAGGTAAGCAGCTACATTCTTGAACAGAGATTAGACAGAGATTGGTTTCATCAAGGAACATTTATATTACTCAGTAACTGCTGGAACTCCATGATAATGCTTTTTCTTGTGAAATTTTATCCCCGGAGTTCAGAGGTTGGGAAACTGTGCCCCACCAGATTTTGTTAGACTCCAGCTCTCATCAGCCCCAGTCTGCATAGCCAATCATCAGTGGTGGTGGGAGTTGGAGTCTGCCAATACCTGGTTTAAGTGTATTATTGTTGAAGAAATAAGATCAGGTTCATCTAGGTAAGTAGATTTAATAAGCAGTTGCAGGAGAACTGAAACTGACAGGGTGCCCCCTGAAAGCAACAAGTTTCACTCCCCATGAAGAAAGTCCTTGTACACCATTCCTTAGTTATACAGAGGGAATTAGAAACCTGTTCAGTTACTAGGAATGAAAACTACAGAAATTACAGATGTGGCAATTAACAAGCACTTCTCTGCATGCTTTCATGTGAATTTATAGCAGGCAGAAGCTCCATCTTGTGTCAAAACAAAATGTGAGCTATAACTGTGACAAACTCCATAATAGGATAGCACAGATAGCTGTGATTCGCTGCATCCTGAGTCTTTTCAAAAATATGTACTAATTGCCATTCTTACCACATACATGGTTAATTTCCTACCAGGCTTAGACAACCAGAAAATTTTCAGAGCTTGAACACCTTCTTCTTCTACAGTTATATGAATAAGAAGCTATGAAATGAATCCAATTATATTGCCATGGTTTTTTTTCCTTTCACAGAACCCTGATGGTGGCTTCTATGTAGCATTCACAACCTTGGCAGGCATCAGTGGTGTTATCATCACCCTGTGTCTAATATTAATCATCACTTCATCTACTAAAACCATTCGAAGGTCCTACTTTGAAGTATTTTGGTTCACCCACCATCTGTTTGTTATCTTTTTTATTGGCCTTGTCATTCATGGAGCTGGGTAAGCCTCTGCACTGAGTCAAATACACCATTACATAAACAGAGCGATTGCATATCTGGAAACTGAGTCAGCCACCTGCTGTGGAAGGGTTTGCACTCACCCTGGGGAGCAGGTGCAAAGCTCAGTAGCGCTCCTTGATCCAGCACTGTTGCTGGACTGGGGGCACAGGCATCTTTGATGGATGAGAATGCCTTATGTCAGCTCCGCCTGGCAAGGCTCCCACAATGGTTCCTGGGCATTGTTGGCTTGCCAGTGATACAGCTCAGCGTTCGTAGTCTCAAGATGGGGACACTGCATTGTCCTTCATGTGAGGCCACCCTTAGGCCTTGGTCTTGAGGCTGCCCTTGGTGCAGAATGTCACAACCAGGCTGGCTGTGGGAGCTGTTTGCCACCAGCACATTTCCTCTGTACTGAGGGAACTGCACTGGCAGACTCTATCTTATCAGGACAGCTTTAAGATCTTAGTGTTTAAGAAAACCCAAACAAACTCAGGACCAGAATATTTAAGAATCACCTGACCTGCCTATTTGAATGCAGTACTGATCAGGAGATACACTTCTGATGGTGCCTAAGATATTCAAAACCTGGTGCATGATGACTCAGAACACAGCCTTGGATTACAAATACCCCTTTCCTGGTACTCCCTACCAACATGTATTGGACAGGTATCAACCCTTCTGAGGTCTTGGTGCATATTAAAAACTTGGTCCAGCAAACTTTTCTGGAAGGATGCTTTTGTCTTTTTCCTTGCTGTTATGCTATGGTTCTTTCTGAGTAAGTGTCATCTTGTATTTTATGTTTTACTGTATTTCTTGTTTATCACTTAGTCATTTCCTGTCAAAGTAAGCAATGGACCAACAGGGGATTATGCAATCAGAAGCTGGTCCAGTGCCCACTTTGCAGCTCCAATTATCTTAAATTGGCAGAATAACATTTGTTAAGAGAAGGGATGACCAGCTTCTCCTTTCTCAGGGTTCCCAACATATTTTGCTCCATATCTCAACTCCTTCAAAAATGCTCCAGCAACAACACCTGTTAGAAGGAGCTTGAGAACCATGAAATGGGTGAGGCATTATACACAAAAGTCAGGCAAAAAGTGTCTGGTCAACCACCAGAAATAGTTTAGCAGGTCACAGATTACCTGCCTTTTATTTTATTTTATTTTATTTTTGGTACTCCCAGTAAGATGAAGACATTGATGTTATGATATCAATTTAATTGCTGTTAATGTTTCTCATTATTCAGTATTACCATTACTGAGATGTATGCTTGCTGCTATTCCCAGACAAATTGTACGTGGACAGACACGTCCCAGTTTGGATGTTCATGATCCAGAAATCTGCTCCAGAGATTACACCAATTGGGGGAAAAAGTCTACATGTCCTGTACCACAGTTTTCTGGAAATCCTCCTATGGTATGAAGTTTTGTTTGTTTTTAAAAATGCAGCTATTTAGACTATTGAAGATTTTGATTTTCATGTTAAGCAGCCACATTACTAGTAGAAAGGGTGGGACTAAATCATGAGAATGCACAAAGTCCAATGCTGGATCAGGCCAAAGGCTTGTTTAGCATAGCATTCTCCTCCCACAGTGGTGCACCAGCTGTCCACAGGAATACCACAAGAAGCGCACGAAAGCAACAGCATTGTCCCACTGTATTTTCAAGCAACTGTCATTTACAGACTTCCAATATTGAGGGTAATGCATAGTCACCATGACTGATAGCCAGTGACTGCTATATCATCCATGAATTTGTCTAATCTCCTTTTCAAGCCATCCAATTTGGTGGCCATCCCTACGTATGTCTTCTGGCAGTGAATTCTGTAGTGTAAATATGTGCAGTATGAAGAAGTGCCTCCTTTTGTCCACCTTGAATCTCCCTGCACTTATCGAAAGAAAAACAAATAGATCATAGGTATATTTTCTCAACTCTAACTTCAGTTGTTAGACAAAGGGTAAGCTCTCTCAAAAGGAATAGACATTAGCCTGTTGTAACTGAAGTAACTTCCTGAACTGACAAAATACTTGCTAAGTTTTCCTCAGAGCATTGGGTATGGTGTAGAGTCCGAAGAATTTAGTGTTGAAATCCATTCCTGTGTTCACAATTAAACCATTGATTTATTTAACAGAATATCCTTGCCTGCTTTGTCTTCTTTCTTCTGTTGGCAGACCTGGAAATGGGTAATAGGCCCTATGATCCTATATGTCTGTGAGAGGATAGTGAGGTTTTGGCGATCAAAGCAAAAAGTTGTTATCACAAAGGTAAGAGTCACAAAAGCAAGCTATGTTTTCATCTTATTCAAAAAGTGCATTTGCAAGCCATGCTAAGCCACCCTGCAAATAAGCCACCATGGGTTACTTGTTCATTGAACAGACAATTGTGCGCACCAGGGGTTGCTCTTCCCTTCTTCCCCCTCTGTCCTCCAGTCAGTATTCCAAGGTCCTTCACAGCAAAACCCATCTTGTCTCTCCTTCCCCACTCCAATTGCTAACATTTTCATTTGCCATTATTCCCCCCACCCCTAAGAACCTCAACAAAGTGCAATCAAGGCATTTTTTTAAATGACTCCTACAAATTGGGCAACTGTGTTTATAATTTGTATTAGTTGGTCACAAGTCCGTTCTGATGACTATCTGTTGTGCGTGGTCTTGTCTAGTCAATTTCCCTGTCTGTTCCAGGAGTAACTGCTCCAGAAAGTAGCTGCAAAAGGGGTGGGAGTTACCCATGGTAGGTTGTTGCATCATCCAGAGAAGGTGTGTGAGACATTCTGTCATTACCTTGCAGTCAATAATGCATGGAAGAACTGAATCCCCATGTTGGAGAGATGCTGCAAAATTAATCAGAATGTCACGGACCATGAGGGAAGTTAATCATGGGCAGGAACCAGGTCCACCCTGGCAGACATGGATTTCTCAATGTCCTCCTTCCCATGCTAGTTCTCCAGCCCCCTGAAAATGCTTCACAGAGAGTCAGGAGACCCTGCCGAATGGTGTTGGCTGTCTGTGGTGAGGCAGAGGGATTTGCTGAGGGTGAAATGGGAAACTCCCCAGAACTGGGTGGAGAACCTTCTGTCAGTAGAAGGCAGATCCTACATTCAATTCTGTAGGCATGGCATTTTATTCAAAACATATTCCTCTTAATCAGGAATGAGCAACCATGGGAGGTCCGGGCATTTTCATTCATTGTAACCTTCCTCCCCTTGGCAAACCACTCCATAGTATATAATAGTGCTAAAACGGACACATTTTCTTGCCTGCAAGCTAAATCTGCCATTTTGCAGAAGCTACAGAATGCAAAAAGTTCATTTTGGGTTGTGCTGGTAGAAGTTTGGGTAGAGGGTTGCATGTTGCTCAACCTCCTCTAAATATTTTTCCTCAAGTAATTCCCTTTTGGGTGAAATGAATTTCAAGTAAATAGGATTTGGATATGTTTTCGGTTTTGTGATTGATGACCTTTTCTCCTTCCTTTTCTGCATTTGTGCTGACTCAATGCAAGCTTTGACCAACCCAGATTCTTTATGGTGTCCTGAAAACCTTACATTTTATGTCACAGGTGGTCACCCATCCTTTCCAAACATATGAGATCCAGATGATGAAGAAGGGCTTTAAGATGGAGGTTGGTCAGTACATTTTTGTGCAATGCCCTGCAGTATCCAGGCTAGAGTGGCACCCTTTCACACTGACGTCTGCCCCTGAAGAAGACTACTTCAGTATTCACATACGTGTTGTAGGAGACTGGACAGAAGGCTTGTTTAAGGCTTGTGGATGTGACAAGAAAGAATTCCAGGAAGCCTGGAAACTGCCCAAGTATGTACAGCATACATAAGGGTCCATTTAGCAAAATGTCAGCTGTTGCCCTCATAACCCCATGGATTGGCTTAAAATCACAGTGCAGGAGGGTGTGATTTACCATAGAGGATCGTGTGCAGTTGTGCTGACTCATAGAGCTCCAAGGGGCAGAAATAGGATGCTACACAATGGGGCAAAGGGGGATATGCTGTTCTTACCAGCTGTCTGTCCACCACTGTGTTGCAAGCCACATAGTCTCCTTCCATCAAACATTTATTGCACCTTATTGTGTTTGTCCCAGGCAGGCAACGTGGCTCATAACACACTACTGGGATAGCACACTCAGCCTTACGGGAGTTGCCAATCGCAGCACCCAAAACATCCCAAAAGTAATTGACCAGAATTAGAATAAAGCTGGTTTTGGCTCTAAGTCTCATCTCAGGCTCCTTTTGACTTGGGTCTGGGGTCCACCTGGGTTTGCCCTAGCTGTTGACTGTCTGAGTTTGGTAACACGGGGGCCAGTTGTACTGTATATGGTTAATCTTCCCTAGGAATGAGGTTGACTTCTAAAGCCGGGAGGCCATATTCAGCAGACTTCTAATGCTACTGTAAAGTTAGGAATGCCAAAATAAGCTAGTTATGAAGAATAAAAATTTGCTCCATTTTTACTGATTAGCATTATGTATTTTCTAGTTTTAAACAAGCCCTGCCCCAGTAAGTCTGCTCCCTTGGCTGTAGCCCCTGCCCTCTTGGCTGCAGACTCCCAACTCAAGAATGCAGATCCTGGGACCCTTCCAAGATTGCAGTTTAGCCCTTAGGTCTTTGCAACACAGTTATCTTACTCCCCTACTCATAAAACCCAGCTCAGCAAAAGGATACAGTTCTGATTTGCACAATCCATCCCAGAATATCTTAGCTTAATTTGGTACATGATCTTACACTGAGACACCTCTCCCAGGGGAACTAGCCCCTGAACATATACTGACTGAGTTCAAACAACACAATAAGTGGCACTCAAGGTTTTATTTATTTATTATATTTATATCCCACATTTTCCTTCCAGGGAACTCAAGGCAGCTTTCATAATTCCCTTTTCTTCTCCAGCAGTTGAATATCAGTTGCATGCAGGTTGACACTGAAATGTGGGTTGCTGAAAAATGGGGTATTATTTAATTAATTTATATACCACCCAGCAGCCAATGCTCTCTGGACAGTTCACAAAGTTATAGTATCATCTGAACTAGCTGTGCCAGTAGCTAATCATGAGCAATTCATTTAGCAATTCAACAATTCATCTATTGTTGGGCTGTGAATTGTAGGTAGTTATCCTGGAGTTATCAGACAACCCAGCACACATTTCAACAAGCCACAATTCAATGTCATCCCATGCTCAGCCCATAGACAACCACCCTTGAGTCTGGGTTATCATGCTGTCTGAACCCAGTCATTGTGTTTTTGGTTTTAACTTGGATGATTAAAGACAACATTCATTAGAATATGTATGGACTAATCACAGTTGTAATTATCAGTTCTATTCTTACTATTCTAGAATAGCTGTAGATGGCCCCTTTGGCACTGCTAGTGAAGATGTATTCAGTTACGAAACCGTGATGTTGGTTGGAGCTGGCATTGGCGTAACCCCTTTTGCATCAGTCCTCAAGTCTGTGTGGTACAAATACTGCAATGATGCTATTAACCTAAAACTAAAAAAGGTATGTCCTGGATATATCCCCAAGTTTACGACACTTGCTTTCTAGCCAGTGCATAAAAAGAGAAACTAAGAAATATAAAGAAGAACTCTGGACTTCATCCAAACATATCTATTTACAAAAAGTGTTGTGAGCAACTAATACTTTATGTTGTCATGTGTCCTTTCTTAGTTTGTGTGCAACAATAGAAAGCTGACAGCCAGGATTTAGCAATTTCCCCATTCTATCTTTGTTCCATTTGTCCACCCATCCTGCATCATGCTATATTGCACACAGAGGGCTGATCTGTGCAGCCACAAGATCTAATGGCACAACAGAATGCTGGATTGGAGACAAATGTCTGTGCATATGTTGTCAAATCCTTCAGATTAGAGAAGTTAAAATCTCTGTCCCTATCCCTACTTTCACAACTACCATTTCTTCCTTCCATTTACAAATTACATAGTTTGGCCTTCACCAAAGGAAATTCCAGAGGACCTTGTCTGTGGGAGCAAAGGAGTAGCAAAGACTAGTCTTTGGAAACCAAGGGTTGAACTCATAGGACTTGTAGCTTATTATTGTAACTGAAAGCTAGAGGAGCAAATGAGTTAGCACTAAATATTTTAGGGAAGTGCTTAATACTTCCTGTAACCTTTGCAATCAACTTCAGCCTTACCTTGCCTGGGGATTGTTGTTTATGCTGCGTAAGAAGAACATCTACTCAAATGTAAGTTACCATTTCATTGAATGGAAGCAGCGAGTATTTGAGAAATACTCCTGGTCATTGGCCATTATGAGAGCCTAGTGACCATCACAGGTAATCCAGATGATTGCCTTTGATGTTTTCAGGGTTTAAGAAGAAAACTAGGAGAATTACTGTGACAATATTCAATCTTTCCCCTTCTAGATCTATTTTTACTGGCTCTGCAGAGACACCCATGCATTTGAATGGTTTGCTGACCTCTTGCAATCATTGGAGACTCAAATGCAGGAAAAGAATAATGCAGAATTCCTCAGCTACAACATCTGTCTTACAGGCTGGGATGAGTATCAGGTAAACACACTCTCATTTGGAAGTCTTTACTTGCTGGAGTGCGGCTGTGTCCATCTGTTGGACACTCTTGCGTTACGGGAATATTCTTGAGGACTACTACTCTTCCTGCCACTGCTGACCCTCATCTGATGCTACAGCTTTCTGATAAAAACGTTTTCTGACTTCATTATTTCAGGCTGCTCATATTGCAGTGCATCATCAAGAAGAGAAAGACGTGATCACAGGCTTGAAACAGAAAACCCTGTATGGGAGACCAAATTGGGAAAATGAGTTCAAAATGATTGCAAGTCAGCATCCAAGGTAAAATTGTTCTATAGAACAAACAGAAAGGTGGCTCATTTGTGTTACTTATATTTTATTCTATGAGCCAGTAACTAGTTTTGTCTTGCCATGGGTCCAGTAATTGATGGGTCCCATTAATATTGGTTTCCTGCATACTACACTACTTGTAAATATGAACGAATCAAGCACTGATACTCTTGCAATAATCCATGTGGAATCATCTGCCTTCACACTCTCTTGTTAAAATTTTTGAAAAGTGGAATAATCCATTGAGCATATATATCTGGGATGAAACTGTCCAGCATGCAGAGGTTCCACAGCTGGTTTGCAAAGCCTTCTGGGATTTATCCTTGGTTGGAACTTGTGTCTCAGATACTAGCAGGGGCTCCTGTGCCCGTCATTCCTCCTCCCAGCTGAGTTACTGGCAGTGATTGCCCAGGGTGCCATTCCCACTACAAGTCCCCTCTCTTTCCATGAATTGTGCTGCCACTTGGCGGTGCTGGGGAGAGAGGATGTCCTTCCCATTGTTGGAAGAATGACTAACTGCCCACCTCCCTGCTGCTACATCCAGTCTAGGACAGGAGGCAGCAGTGGGCATGCCTTTGTATGCCAAACAGGAGAAGAAGTCGCATGCGAGGGAATCCCTGCTGCTACCTTGGATCCCCGAGTGGGCATAACAGCAGGAGCACTGGAGACTCGGACAGTGTGGAGAAGAGCATCTTTTCTGCCCAGCATTGGCCAATCGGCAGCACAAGTTGTTTGTTTGTTTCATGTTTATACTACCCTATATTTGAGGCTTTCTGGGTGGTCAACAAAAGTTAAAAACTCAGAAACAACAACAAATAACACAAATCAACAAAATTGCAGCAGTTGCAACTGAATCAGCATAGAGGCATAGCAGCAGTACAGAATAAAATGCAATATTAAAAGTTACATATGTAAAACTATGGGAACTCTAGATGTAAGAATGAATTCAGACATGCCTGCCTGCCACATGATGGCCAAGATATAAGAAGAAATGAGAGTTCATCCAGTCCATATTCTGTTCACATAGTGGACAGTGGCCATTCAGAGGCCCATGAGAAACACACGAGTGGGTCCTAAGCAGCACAGCACCTCCCCCTGGCAACTGATGCACAGAGAGACATTTTAAAGCAGACATATATCCAATCCATGTAGAAAGCAGGACAGTTAGAAAACTAGGACACTGTCTAATAGTGGCTGGGTTCACACGCCGTGACTAGCAATCCTGGATGCTCACCACGGTGCATAGTTGTTTGCATGGGTGCGCCTGACAGACAATTAAATGTTTGTTATACTGGCGTGGCTTCCACCTCCTCGCTCAGTCCTCCTGCTGTTGGCACATATCCCATCAATTCCATCCCCTGCTAGAAGATCTTACAGTAGCTCCCACCCTTTCCAGGGATTCTGTGGTATGACTGTGGAAACCACAGTGCTGGGTTCCAGTGATCATCAAATCATGGTGAAGCATGGAAAGCACAGAGCAGACCATTATTTCTTGTCTTGACTTCTCAAAACCAAACGTACCATGCTGAAACACCTCAAATGACACAGCAAATCATTCTGTGTTAAAAACCACCACGGCAAACCTGTCCCTGAGTCAGACCATCTAGCCCAGTATTTATGTATCTGATTTTTTTTCTTTTGAACCCAAAGCAGCTGACATCACTCTCTTCTCCCTGCTCTCAATCTTATCCCCACAACAACAACCCTGTGAGGGCTGAGAGTCTGTGCCTGGTCCAAAATCACCCCGTTGGCTCCATGGCCAAACAGTCCCAGTTTCGCACTCCAAACCATTACACCACACTGGCTCTTCCAGCACTGTCAGTTCAACATGGACCAGCAGCAGCTCTCCATAGTTTCAGGCAAGATGCTTTCCTAATCCTACTTGGAAATGCCAGGGATTGAATGTGGGACCTTCTGCATGCAACACAATCACACTGCACTGCCAGGCGATGGCCCTTCGACACCGTGTGACAGCCTGCGTGCTTGACATGCTATGTTTTCTATGAACAGGATTGCTTCACAGAAACTTCCCAATTATGGACGCTCATGCTACAAGCATTCAGTCATAACGTGACCTTACTGAATGATAAGAAACTGACTGAGGAGTGTGCATGTGTGAATTACCTTTTGACTTTCTAATATCAGTATATCAAGTCCTGGTCTCACTGAGGACTAGAAAAAGCTTTTGTTGTAGCCAGGTTGCTTTACTGGACTCACAAAAGCACGAATACTCCTTGCCAGCATGCAAGGGGTGTCTCTGATTTTTAAGTGCAGTAACATTTGCCAATGTTCTGTATAGAACAATGTTATTTCTAGAACACTTAAATTCCCACAGTAGCATAAATTATGTACCTTCTTACGCAACTGAACATTACACTTTCTTCTGCCAACAGTTCCAGGATTGGTGTTTTCCTGTGTGGACCTGAAGCCTTGGCTGATACCTTAAATAAGATGTGTATTAACAATTCAGATGCTGACCCACGAGGAGTGCACTTCATATTCAACAAAGAAAATTTTTGAAGATATATGTACCATGAAACAAAGAAAAACAGAAAACTTAGCACTTCTTTTTGTCTGGACTCTGAACACAATGGATTTTGCGACAGTAAATTTCCATCTCACTGCTAAAAGTTCCAGGTCTGCTTGCCCCAGTGTTTGAATTCCCTATAATTTTGCAGTAAATTTATTCTTCACATTAGACTAACTTAGGCTGTTGTCTTAAGTCAATAAATAAGACTCACCGAACTCATTAGGAAATACAGCAGTGGACAGTGTATAGGACTGAACATGTGACTGGAAATTCTATCCTCCCATGCTTTAGTGTGACTTCTTTTGGTGTACAAAGCCACCTTTAACTATTCCTATAAAAATTAAGGGCTGAAATCTGGTGTGCATTTTCAAATGCTTTAAGGATTACTCAGAATGATTCCCCTACTTCTGATGGCACCAAATTTCCCCAGCGAGTGCAGAAAGACACTTCACTGGTGTGCCTCAGAAAGAGTCTCTACCTCCCCAAGACTGGACTGCCACCCAGTCCTCTTAGAACATAGTTGATACATCGGACAGTGTATAACTGCCCTGCCCGCACTCTCTAGTTTCTTTACAATCTGTTTCCGCCTCTTCAGTGCAACTGACAAGGTCAGGGAAAGTCCGCCATTCTTATCTGCATGTGTTTTTCTTTAAAAGGCTATTTATATGTACAACAGATTAAGCACCTGCCTGGCATCAGTGAAATTGACAAGGCATCCCTTGATCCAGTCCGTTTCACTGGGAAAGGGGTGGATGGCCTGTGCCAGATGCTATGAAAAAGGAAGACGACTCGAGGGGGCCCTGCCATACCTGTTAATAGGTGCCACAGCGACTCTTCCATACAGGGAGAGGAGATGAATGTTAAACAAAAGCTGTTCCCAAATGTAGACCACATAGTGGGTGCAGGACAGAAAAAGAGCATCAGATTGAATACAAGTGTCTATAGGGTCCAGAAAATACACATAAAGATTGAAATGCAATTGTAAATCTACCTTTTAAAAAATCTTGATACAAGGACATTTAAAGCTGCACTCCTGTCTTTTATATCTGCACACCAATAAAAGAAAAGAAGCTCAAAAGCACGTTAAGTGCCACATTCAGCACATTAAATGTTATTGAAGAAAATAGTTCTGAGATAAAGCCAGTTGCTTAAGATGCTGTTTATCTTGTTGCAAGGAGAAGGGGGGGAAGAGAGGATATATTTAGGGAAGAGCAAACCAGATCAGTCCAGCATAATAGTTACTAGCAGTTGTGTGTGTGTGTGTGTGTCCATGTGTGTGTGTAAAAGTCCGCCTTTTCCCACTTAATATCCTAATTTCTTATCTAAAAGGGGTTTTCCAGGACCTTTAGTTGTTCATAAGGAATGGTGAACAAGTGCTGTAATATGAAATATGCTGGTTTTGATACAACTAGCTCATCCCATTAAATATTTGAAGTCTGTGTCTGCATTTATCCTCCTGTTTCTATATTACTCTAACAGTCTTTATCATTATTAGCTTCTGTCTTTAAGGAGACTCTGCCTCATGCAGGGCACTTACAGGACTGAAAGGGGACCTCACTACATGCCGTCTGGCAGGTCCTTTCTGCATCCTGGGCCTCCCCTGTTGGGTCTGGCAGTAGCCATGGTGTTAATAGCAGTGCACTGCTCTATGCATTGTGGTAGAAGGGTTCGGGAGCCACTCTTTTAAATGCCCCACAATGCTCCTGATCGCTCATGATGCAGTTATATTTAATCCTTCATATAGGTGTTCCCCAGGTGTTACTGTCTGGAAAGTAGGGACTGTAACCTCTTGCTTCCCAAAAGGCATCCCAGATATTAGTGGTTCTTATTTTATGCACTGGACTGTTGGGCAGCTCAGGTTAGGTAACACAAAACTAATGTTATCCTCTTTCTTCCCCTCAAAATCTGTTTCTATTTTAAAAAGGCGGGAGCTCGTGTTTCTCAGAAGTGCCAAAACTTGGTCCTGTCCCCAGAAACAGAGTGGTAGTTGATACTGTTTAGGGGCTTTGCATCTACAACAGATTAAAAGCACCAAATTGCCATTCTCACCTAAATTTGGGTCCCACTTAATATATTGCATTGACAATAGGAAAAGGTTGTGCAATTACAAGCAGAAAGATCATATGAGAGGGGGGAAGGAAACAACTTCGTGCATGGAAGTACATCCATGAAGCTCAGTCTAACCATTTTATCCCTGGGGCCTTTAGGCTTATGGCCGGAAATAGAGATTTTGTGTGTTAATGAGTTTTATTTTTGTTTTCAGCTTTCTATCCTTCATCCATAGTAAATATTTTTGCAAATGTGTTAGTAATTTGCCATAACAACTATTAAATTAGGAGGCAAAATGTCCTTAAAGTATTAATTCAAATATAGTTATCTCCAGATTCATTTAAAATTGTGGAATCACCAGTTTAATAGTCATGATCCCCCAGTGGTTGCACTGGGAGTCAGTTGAACAACTACTTAGTCCTCCAGATAAAATCAAAGGGACTTGGATGCACTTAATGTTGGCTGGTTTTGCTCTGTAATTTAGAAGTGTTTTAATAATTCCAGGATATCACATAATAAGAAAATGCTTCTGACACTTAAAACATAATTTTATACATAGATCCTCAAAAGTAAGTCACAATGAGTTCGATGGGGCTAATTTCCAAATAGATGGGTATAAGATTGCAGCCAGAATCCTCAAAAAGTTTACATTAATTTCATACAAATTATACTAAACTCACAATAAACATTTTGGATTTGCTTCATATAATTTAGTCCAGCTTTCACCAACTTGCTTCCCTCAAATGTTTTGAACTTCAACATCCATCAACCTCAGTCAGCAGAGCCAATGGGCAGGAATCTTGGGACTTATGGTCCCAAACATCTGGAGGACTGGGGAATCCTTGTTTAGCCATCATCCATTATAATAAAAATGAAAATCAGGTATGGTTCATTAGCTCATAACATTAACCTCTCCTGGCCAGCATATCGTTCAATGGATAGTTTAGTGTGCGCTCTCACTCTCGCCGGGGGGGGGGGTCCAATTGACTGACATTATCTATTTTCAAGCAGCTCAAACAAAAAGTCACCCAATGAACTTCCTTCTGTTTCTCAGTCTTCTGATAAATCACGTGGAGACTAAAATGAAAGTAACCATGCCTGACAGATTTCCAAGGGTAATTCTACAATGTTAAAAGATAATTATGTGGAGCCAGGTTAATTCTAGAACTCTCCCAGCCACACCCAAAGCAGTATTTTTGTTCTGGTGCTGTCTCCTACCTCTAGTGTTGGAGTGCAGTTGGTTCCTTGGTGCTTGGTAACTTCTGTGGTATAACCCACTGGTTACTTTAATGCACCTGTAATTGGTAACTATGCCGTTATCATCTGCGGTTTGCACTTCTGTGTACCCTATGTGCGTTGAACAGATATGTTAAAATAAGTCTTATTACTAACAACGACAGTCTTGTGGTACTTTAGAGACGAACGGGTCTATTCCAGCATCAGCAGTTTCGGGAGTACTGTGTATTTCATTGTCTGCAACAAACTAACATGACTATCCAGGTCTAGTTTGTATGATCACAGGCTGGTTAACAAACCCTGGTGTGTGCCAGTTGCATGCAAGCTGGTTTGCAAAATTACCTTGTTCACCATGGATTTGAACCTCATGAGGGTGGCTTGTTTAGTTGGTGCAGGCCAAGTCAACGTTAATTCTTTTTGCTTGGGCATCCCTCATGCCACTATATCAGCTCTGGGAATATCCAATTAGCTTTAGCATAATTTGTCACTCTTTCCAGGCAAAACTGTCTCTTCCATTTTTAGTACCTAAACCATGTTTCTAGGGCCAGAGTCTCCTCTGATTAAAAAATTCAATTGCCATGCTTTGGTTTGCCTGGTCTCAACATAACTATGCTTACTGGACCATTCTGCTCTGTAGCTGCTATTATGTGTAGTTTTTAGTGGAGTTTTACTGCTAGTGTGGTTGTTTTACAAATGTTTGTAGCTTTTTTAAAATTATATGAATTTTAATGTTGTAAGCTACCTTGGGAGGTCTTCTGCCTTGAAAGGGGGCCTAGAAATATTTTAAATATTTAAATAGCTTGACCACCCTAGCAAAGTGTCCATCAAGTTCCAAAGCCAAGTTCCATATGTGCAGAAATGGAAGGCTGTTTGATTTGCAAACAACCTGCAACTTCTGTTTGACTTGTCATATTAGAGTCCCAGGGAGATGATCAAGAAGTCAGCCTAAGGTTTTGGGAAACAATCACCAAACATGTTGATCTGAATGAGCAGTCCTTAAATTCTCTTTTATTGCTTGATTGGCTTATAATATGTATATCCCACCTTTTTTTTTCTTTCAAGGAACTCAAGGGGGTTTACATAACCCTCCTCCTCCCAGTCTTACCCTCACAGGAACCCTGTAACGGAGGCTAGGCTGAAAGTCAGTTACTGATGCAAAGTCACTAAATGAGCTTTGTGGCCAAGTGAGGACTAGAACCCAAATCTCCTGAGTTCCAGTCTAACACTCCAACTACTATACTACTGTGGCTCCCAAATTTTATTTAAATTATCATTAAATTCTGTTGGAAATTATAAACATGTATCGGGAAGGCTTTCTATCAGACCTCAACAACTCCACCCGTATCTCTGGTCTGATCTTCTTCCACTTTTCACCCCTGTCCCAGGGGCCATGGACTTACAGTCTTGAGGATCAAAGCTTAAAATAATAATTCAATAACAGTAAAAATACAGTGCATGTTTTCTTTGTTTAGTGGTGACAAAAGCCACATTTGTTGTAGAGTAGCAGTTCCTCCTTCCAGTCATGTAATATTCCTCCATATGTTTAACTTCCCTAATGAGCAAGACCTGGTGAACTCACATACGAGTATGAACATTCCACAGGCAAGCTACTCATGAAGGGCAGAAAACTTTTCCTGCAGAAGACACTTCAATAGAGGAGGGTATTTTAAATGCAAGAAACAAATCTGGACTCAACATTATAAGACTCCTTCATCTGCCAACAAGCAAAACTAGTAGAAGAAATGCAAACTCAGTCTGCAATCCTCCACACACATGCAGGATCATGTAAACTGTTTTACATCCCTCACAAGAGGAAAAAAGGCAGTATATAAATGCAAGATGATGATGTTGATGAGTCCCTAGTAAGTGTGGTTTGGATTGCAACCACCTTTCCACTGAAGTCAATGGTATTTTCTTTGGAGTAAGAAAATCCCAAGAATACACAGCAAATGCTGTATATTGAAGCAATTACTACATACAAATACTGCAGAAAGACTCTGGACCCCCACCCCACCCTTGTACAGACTTCAAAATATTTCTTGCCTGGATCTATCCATATGCTGCTGGCAGAAATATAGAGGTTCTTTCCACCATATGATCTATGAAAGCACCTAACTTTTGGTGAAAAAAAGCCTTGAGAAGCCAGCTAACAAGCAAATTAAATGCATTGGTCTTATTTTAGTACAAGAATTTGAGCTTATGCTCATATTAAAATGTTACTTTTCATTTTAAACTTGACTCTAGAGACAATGACACTTATGTAGGAAGAGTGAACATACTCAGTAATAATGTAACACACCAGGTGAGCTTTGTTGCAATGGTCCAGGCTTGGATTAGTCAGTGAGATGTGTTTTCTAGTGACCACTGAAAGTGCCTCTGCCCTGGAGGCGTCTACATGACCATGTTTCAAATTCAGCACTCTCTGGCTGAGTAGCAATGCAGGAAGAAATATTGCAAAAATATTGTGGGGTTTCAAACAACTTCCTTTTCATGCAGTGCAAGGTGCAAGGTGTCATGATGCCTCCTAGCTTAGGGTCAGCCTAGATGGAAAGAGACACAATTTCTACTCAGGTCTGCCCATCTACATATAAAGCAGGAGACTTGGGTATGGCCTGGTTTACAAGAGCAAAAGTGAAGAGGGAGAAGCTGAATCTGCTTCAAGTGTTCCCTTTAGCTTTCTCTACTCCAGCACTTTTCTCTCAGCCATGCTAATTACAGTTGGAGCTGGCTGAGCTGGAGACTGTGCCACGGGGAGGCGAGACTCAGGCAAAGCAGTGGGAAGCAGTAGCCAAGCCAGCACATTCTGAAACATGAGGCAGTCCCCAGGTTAGCCCTGTGCCAGCACCAAGCATGTTCTGCCAGTGGGGACAACACCTGACCCACTGGGAAGGAAGTGCTGGCTTCCACAAGGCAGGAAAGCTTGCTGACTGAAAACCCTGCCCATGAGCTTTGCCCCTCTGCTTTACACATGACTAAAGTAGGTCTGAACATAAAGCCATGGATCTGTGGACATCTCTACTTGTTACTTTTACATATTTTGTTATTTAGAAAATTGTGATCTTGCTCTCCAGTAAAACCTCTAGGGTGGACTATGACAGATTAATACCATGAACGTACATAACAATAAGCAAACAACAACGGCCAAATCAAACTC